CAATGAACGAAGTGGAACTGGAAGCGTGGAAGGCATTTGTTCTGGTAGTGAAGAACTTTCTTGGCAACAATAAGGCCAGAAACTATGCAGAACTTGTCAACAACATGCTGACTGCTTTCAGAAACCTGGGCTGCAACATGAGCGTCAAGATGCACTACCTATTTTCACATATGGACCGGTTTCCTGAGAACCTGGGTTCAATGAGTGACGAGCAGGGGGAGAGATTCAATCAGGACATGAAAGAGATGGAGACCAGGTATCAGGGTCGCTGGGACGCAGTCATGATGGCTGACTACTGTTGGACTCTGAAGAGAGACCTCCCTGCCGCTGAGCATTCCAGGAGTTCCAAGAAACGGAAGTTCAAGCCCTGAAGTTTGAAAAATGGTTAAGCAACATGCAATTTACGTGTACTTACCTTTATCAATGCCCACCATTCAGTTTACAGTAAACCTGACCTGATGGAGAGAAACGGATGCCATTTCCTGATTCAGCAGTGCAAAAATACCCTAAATCAGTTGTAGAAATCTAGACAACATTCAAAAAGTAAAAAATTGTTGCCCAGTGTAATCATTCTGTCCACCCCTTGGCCCAGGTCATTTTATTCACAAAAGAACTTTTCACACAGTGTTCGTCAGAACCAATCAGATTTCCTCTGAGCATTTCAAAAAAAACCCACATGGGACAAAGTCAGATCAGAAGAAATTATTTTAGCTACAAAAAAACTATTGCCTACTTGAGCATGCATATGTAGTTCAGAGTAAATAAAATAGGAAGCAAGGAGGAATGCTTTTAGGAAAACCCTGGAGGTCATAAACAGGAGTAAACAGGAGAGGAAGGATGGCAGTGTTTACCATCTCCTTGTGAACTCTCTTCCTGGCCCTTAAGATCCATCTAAAGATTAAACTACAGTGGTGCCCCGCAAGACGAATGCCTCGCAAGACGGAAAAACCGCTAGACGAAAGGGTTTTCCGTTTTGAAGTTGCTTCGCAGGACGAATTCCCCTATGGGCTTGCTTCGCAAGACGAAAATACCTTGCGAGTCTTGAGATTTTTTCGCTTTTCCCCCTTTATCTAATCTGCTAAGCCTTTAATAGCCTTTAATAGCCTTTTAGCAGCTAATCCCTAAGCCTTTAAGCCTTTAATAGCCGCTAAACCGCTAATAGCGCTAATAGCGCTAATCCGTCAATGGGCTTGCTTCGCAAGACGAAAAAACCGCTAGACGAAGACTCTCGCGGAACGGATTAATTTCGTCTTACGAGGCACCACTGTACATCAAAGTTACATACTATATTTATGGGTGAGGATGCCTGGTGAAGCAACCAGTCTGTGTTTCAGAATGCTTATACGTGCCGGTCAGGCAGAGAAAATGAACAGTAGAGAAAATGGGCAGAGGTGCAGAGGCTTGTGGGATTTAAGCAGAAATTATTGTCAATGAATCAAACCCAGTCAACGCAATGCTTTCATCGCGGACACAATGGCTTGCTCCGTATTTCATAATTCCTCATAGTAATCCCACCTGACCTCCGCAGACACATTCATGGATGAGGAGGCTTTCAGTGGCCACTGGCCACGATGGCTAGGTTCTGCCTCCGCCGGAGAAGACAGCATGTGTCTGGATACCAGTTACTGGGAATTAAAAGGGAATTGCTCTTATCCCATTGAGGTATCTGGTTGGCCACTGTGGGAACAGGGTGCCAGACTAGATGGGCTCACTTTGGTCTGGTCCAGTTTAAGGGTCTTAAGCTTTCCTCTTTTCTCCAGATTTGGTCACTGCCCCCCTCCCCAGGACATAATGGCCAGAGCGGTCTGTTCCAGTGTTTTCTGTGTGGATATATTATTTGCCCTCCAGAGGGAGGGGCCCCCACTGGCTAACAACACTACCAACACTAACCATATAAAGATGACATCGAATGAAGATCAATGAGTAGTAAACCCAGGGGGAGGGAGGCTGGGGAAAGAGAGAGAGTAATAATAACTGAGCCCAAATTAAAATGAGAATTTTTCAAAGTGCAATTGCAGCGGCAGCTTGTCCAATATATACTGGGAAAAGGACTCTTGAGGCCCTGGGCCCTTGCTTCTTTCCATTCTATCCACGGCATTACTGAATCGTTTATTTTATTTATGAATCAATTTCTAGCAGGCAACTTGAAGCAATTTACAACGCAATAAACACACACATATCCACATACAGAGAGAGTTAAAACAATTGGATTCTTTTCCTTAAAAAAATGCATTTACATATAAAACAATTGTTTTTTAAAAAAACCAATAGTGTTTCTATACAGATACCAACTGGGAATCTCCACTTAGAAGGTTTTTTTTTAAAAAGGGGGGGAAGAAATGCCCCCTTTTAATTAGTGATTTCCTGATCTCTGGTGGGTGCCTCTGTAGTAGCTATTTTGCTCTCCCTGGAAGAATTGTTTGGGGTTTGTTTTGAACTTTGTTTTATTATCAGCTGCACAACATGAGGCTTTGGCGGAGGGGGCAGCGCCTTCCCATTTCACCTCAGTTGGTCTGCCAACAGACCTGGTTTTTGAAGCCAGCTCCCCGTGGAGCATGTTCTCAAAGTTGCTGCCCTCTTCCATCCTGTGGACATGACAGGAGTGTGAATGTGCTGGGATTGTGGGCTTGAGAGAGCTAATCTTTGTTTGAGACTCTGTCCTGCCATGCCCAAAATCTGCCATGCCACAGAGCGTGTGGAAAGTGTGGAGGCGTCGCTCCTGGCGAATGCAAGTTGCCAGGTAAAGGTAAAAGATGTAAAGGACCCCTGGGTGGTTAAGTCCAGTCAAGGCAACTCTGAGGTTGCGGCACTCATTCGCTTTCAGGCCGAGGGAGCCGGCGTTTGTCTGCAGACAGCCTTCCGGGTCATGTGGCCAGCAGGACTAAACCGCTTACGGCACAACGGGACACCGTGACGGAAACCAGAGCGCATGGAAACGCCGTTTACCTTCCCGCCACAGCGGTACCTATTTACTCGCACTGGTGCGCTTTCGAACTGCTAGGTTGGCAGGAGCTGGGACAGAGCAATGGGAGCTCACTCCGTCGTGGGGATTTGAACCACCGACTTTCCGATCAGCAAGCCCAAGAGGCTCAGTGGTTTAGACCACAGCGCCACCCGCTGTACTACTCCGTTCTGCCTCAAACCCCATCTGGAATCCTGTGTCCAGTCCTGGGCACCACAGATTCAGAAGGCTATTGACAAGCTAGAAGGTATGCAGAGTGGAGCGACCAATACGATAAAGGGCTTGCAAAGCCTTGCGAGGAACCAGGTGCCTTTTGAGGAACAGTTAAGGGAGTTGGGCACATTCAACCTGGAGAAGAGAAGACTCGGAGGGCATGACCCTGTTTTCTGCTGGTCCAGAGAGTAGAACCCATACCAAATTACAAGAATGGAGATTCTGAATAAACCTTAGGAACATTACCACTTTCTGATGGTAAAGGTAAAAAGGTAAAGGGACCCCTGACCATTAGGTACAGTCGTGACCGACTCTGGGGTTGCGGTGCTCATCTCGCTTTATTGGCTGAGGGAGCCGGCGTCCAGCTTCCGGGTCATGTGGCCAGCAGGACTAAGCCGCTTCTGGCGAACCAGAGCAGTGCACGGAAACATCATTTACCTCCCCGCCAGAGTGGTAGCTATTGATCTACTTGCACTTTGACGTGCTTTCGAACTGCTAGGTTGGCAGGAGTAGGGACTGAGTAACGGGAGCTCACCCCGTTGTGGGGCTTCAAACCACCGACCTTCTGATCGGCAAGTCCTAGGCTCTGTGGTTTAACCCACAGCGCCACCTGCGTCCCTCCTTGCCTTCTTTTGATGGTAAGAGCCATTCAAATAGCAGAACAAAGGTGGTGGACACTGTAAGTTTTTTAAACAGAAAAAAATGGCTGTCCATGATATCGAATTGCGATTTCTGCACGACAGGCGATTGGACTAACACATCTGGCTGCAGCTGATGGGAGCTGGAATTCAAAACATCTGGAGGGCACCAGGTTGGGGAAAGGTGGTGTTGGTTGCCATGCATGACAATTGCAGGTGTATCTCCCCCGCCCCCGCATGAATTTTGGGGGAAGCTGAGAGAGGTGTACACTTTGCAAAGTGGAGCGCTTGCCGTTGTCTTGTGGGTCAACCTTTGAGCACCACGGCCACTCCCTGCGCGGCCCCCTTACATAGATGTGTGTTACATAGATCTGATTTTTGTGTCATTCTCTTGGAGGTGGGAGGAAGAGAAGGGGGCAGGCGTGCTGGGTTGGGCAAGCACACCCACCGCTTCCAGCTTTTGGTGTCAGCTCCGATGAGGCATCTTGGTGACTGTGTCATCTCCCATCTCCCAAGATGTCCTCTACCCAGCAGGGAGCTTGTGGAAACTCCCACCCAGTCCTGCCAGCTGCCAACTCACCCTTGATGGGAACAAATTGCCCCTTAAAGAAATACAGAGTATATTAAGCATTACCCTTTTGGGGAGAGAGAGGGGAGGCCCCCTTTGCATATGCTAACTCACTTCAATCTGCATGCAAAAATGTTAAATCCACCTGTGATCTAGCTCTCTGAATTCTTAAAAAAGCAGATAGCAGGTTAATATAGCAGGACACGGAGCAATGGGTCCAAACTACAAGAAAGAAGATTCCACCTAAACATTAGGAAGAACTTCCTGACAGTAAGAGCTGTTCGACAGTGGAATTTGCTGCCCAGGAGTGTGGTGGAGTCTCCTTCTTTGGAGGTCTTTAAGCAGAGGCTTGACAACCATATGTCAGGAGTGCTCTGATGGTGTTTCCTGCTTGGCAGGGGGTTGGACTCGATGGCTCTTGTGGTCTCTTCCAACTCTATGATTCTATGATTCTAATAATTATTATAATATATCTATTTATACCCTGCCTTTTCCCCTGACAGGGAGTTAAGGGAGCGGAGGAGGTACACACATCCTAGGTCCTTTGGAAACTCTGCAAATGTAGATGTCATAATATCTGATTCAGGCTTCTTTCTTGAGGGCGGAGAGCCTGAGCCAGAGGACGTCCTATCGAAACAGCAAGTCTTGATTCCTAATCCAGAGTTTGGGAATAGCCGTTCTTCCTGGTCACCTACGGTGAGCTGATAGTGCCTGCAGGAGACCAGAGGGAAGGAAAGAAGGATTTGTTGCTTTAGTCAGTGCAATTTCTTGCTTCTTTCAGGTGTGCATGGGCAGGCACAGCAGTCAGAGTTTTGTGAGCAGCTGCAGGCGTTTTACTACATGGCCTAGGAAGCTGGCTTTGGTATTTATATATTTATTTACTGTGATTACAGCCTACCTCCCCCCCTCTCCAAGGAGCTCAAAGTTTTATACGTAGTTCTCCCCGTCTCATTTAACACCCCTGTGAGGAAGGTCAGGGAGAGAGAGAGAGAGAGAGGGAGAGAGGCAGTGCCTGGCCCAAAGTTACACCCAGCGAGCTTAATAGCCAGGTGGGGATTTGAACCCTGGAATTAAGAGCTGGACCATAAAGAAGGCTGATCACCAAAGAATGGATGCTTGTGAATTCTGGTGCTGGAGGAGACTCTGGAGAGTCCCATGGACTGCAAGAAGATCAAACCTCTCCATTCTGAAGGAAATCAGCCCTGAGTGCTCACTGGAAGGACAGATCCTGAAGCTGAGGCTCCAAGACTTTGGCCACCTCACGAGAAGAGAAGACTCCCTGGAAAAGACCCTGATGTTGGGAAAGATTGAGGGCACAAGGAGAAGGGGACGACAGAGGACGAGAGGGTTGGACAGTGTTCTTGAAGCTACCAGCATGAGTTTGACCAAACTGCGGGAGGCAGTGGAAGACAGGAGGGCCTGGCATGCTCTGGTCCATGGGGTCACGAAGAGGCGGACACGACTAAACGACTCAACAACAACAACTCTCCCGGGTCTTTGTCCAACGCTCTAACCACTGAGCCACCCTGGCTCAGTCACATGGTTCATCTCGGCAGGATATGATGATGGCGCACACACAAAAAGCCCTGTTATGTCCACCCCCCCAACTGCATACAGTGCTGTAGTTTCCCCAGCAAGGGCTCACCCCTTGGGCGTTGCCCTTGAGAGAGCAGAGGGTATCTGGCAGGCCCTGGCACACAGCACTCCTGAGACGGCCCGAAATAACTTCTGCGCACCGCTGTCATCGGCTCCCACCCACCCTGGCTCCTTCTCCCTCCGGCTTCCTCAGCCGACACCTCGCATCTCCACAACTGAGAGGTGACGAAGGCTCGGGGGCTTTGCCCTCCCCCTCCGTGCCTTCGTTTGCCCCCCTTCCCCGAAACACGTAGGAAGGTGGGTGGCGAACGTCTTTCCCCATCTGAAGGGGCACCACTCGGTCACACGGCTGCCCTTCCTGCAGCCGCTCTCTCGCTCCTGCCGACGCCGCACCATGTACCCCTACAAGCCGCACGGCACGGACGCCTTCGGGACCCCTCTGCGGCGCACCCCGCCACGGACTGGGAGGGGCGGCCTGAAGAGGAAGAGCCCGTCTCCTCCGCACCCCCAAGGCTGCAGCAGCCCTGGCAGCGGACTGGGTGCCTTCCTGGACAGCCATGGGATTGACCCTCCGCCTGACTCATCTGTGGGATGCAGGTAAAAGAAGCGGGGTGCAGGGTTCAAGAGACAGTATGGTGTAGTGGTTAGAGAGTCAGAGCAGGACCTGGGAGAGACCAGGGTTCAAATCCCCGCTCGGCCGAGAAGCTCACTGGGTGGTAGCCTGGGGGCCAGTCACTGCCTCTCGGGCTGGCCTACCTCACAGGGGTGTTGGGATAAATGTTTGCCACCTTGAGCTCTTTAGAGATGGGATATAAAGACTGGAATTGTGGCCAGGGATAGGAATATGCCTTCCTGCTCATTGGTTCCCTCTTAAATTCTGGAAGCTGGCTTAGTCAGACCAAGCCAGCGGTGGCTTGAAAGGGTTTCAGGCACAGATGTTTCCCAGCTCCACCTTGAGATCCTGTGGCCTTCTGCACACAAAACAGGTGATCTACCTGCCAAGCTGCCAGCTGCTTTCCTGAAAATCCACCATTGCATTTCTTGGGTGAATCCGACATGGGCCTCGGGTGGCGAGTGCGAGTTCAGCCGCTGTTGAACACAGCACAGCTGTTCAAGAGAGGATGTCGCCACCCAGCGGGTCTGAGCAGAAGGAGGCTGGGGGCAAAGGTCAAACAGACTTGCCTACCCATGGTCTACTCCATTTAAAAAGACAGAACATTGGACAGGGCCAGGCTGGGCCGAAGGAACATGGGCATGAGAAAGGCCCTGCAGGATCAGGCCCATGCAGTCGAGCATCCTGTTCTCTCAGTGGCCGACCAGGTGCCCATTGTGGGGAACCCTCAAGCAGGGCCGAGTGCAAGGCCACTCTCTCCCCTCCTGCAGTTTCCATCAGCCGCTGTCCAGAAGCATTTCAGCCTCTGGCTAGTAGCCACTGATAGCCTTAAAGGTAAAGGGACCCCTGACCATTAGATCCAGTCGTGACCGACTCTGGGGTTGCGGCGCTCATCTCACTTTATTGGCCGAGGGAGCCGGCGTACAGCTTCCGGGTCATGTGGCCAGCAGGACTAAGCCGCTTCTGGCGAACCTGAGCAGCGCATGGAAATGCCGTTTACCTTCCCGCCAGAGTGGTACCTATTTATCTACTTGCACTTTGACATGCTTTCGAACTGCTAAGTGGGCAGGAGCAGGGACCGAGCAACGGGAGCTCACCCCGTCGCGGGGATTTGAACCGCCGACCTTCTGATCGGCAAGTCCTAGGCTCTGTGGTTAAACCCACAGTGCCACCCATGTCCCTTATTGATAGCCTTAGCCTCCAATAATTGGTCTGCTCCTCTTTTAAATCCATCCAAGATAGTGGCCTCACTCCCTCCTGTGGCAGGGAGTTCCCACGGTTTGCTGCGAAGAAGTACCTTATTTTATCCGACCTGAATCTTCCAACATTCAGCTGCGTCAAATGTCCATTTTGTTGCCCGAGGCAGAGGATAATTCGCCCGAATCCCCTTCCACATAGAGAAGCACCGACTGTCGAACCTTTCTTCCGACACTAGTGATGGGGTAGCCTCACCTGAGAGGACGAAGCAGGGCAGCGCATGCTGCTCACCTGGGTCTCACATCTGCCACCTGAGGCAGCTCCCGCACTTTGCCTGACAGCTGGGCCAGCAACCCGGGTCCAGAATGAGAATTTGAGCCCACAGCGGGCAGCTCGATGGAGGTGTTGACGCAGTGTGTGGCAGCTGTGGGGGAAATCCAAATTCCAGGCTATGGGAATTTGAAAATAAAGCTGCCACAATCATAATGTGGTTCTTCAAATTTATGGTGCGACCACACTCAATACCGCATACCGTTCTGGTCGCCTTGCCTCAAAGCGGATATTGTAGAGCTGGAAAAGGTTCAGAAAAGGGCAAGGGGATGGAGCAACTCGCCTATGAGGAAAGGTGGTGACATTCGGGACTGTTTAGAGAAACGTTGAGTAAGGGCTCATCCACACTTCTTTTGTGCCCCACACTTTCTCAGTAAAGGTCTGCACTTTAAAGCTCCATGTCTGAGCACACATCACTGCTTTCCCCAGGAAGCCCCGCTCTTTAACGCTGAATCGGAACAAACGACAATTCGGGTTTTCTTCTGCGGATTGCCCTTTGCTCTGATTCATGGGTGAATAGCGGGGGTTTCTCCAGAAAAAAAAGCTGGGGCAAATAAAGAGGGTTTGGACACAGCTTTAAAGTGTGGATCTGTGTCTGTGGAAGTCTGCATGAGCTCCCAGAAGCGACATGATGGAAATTCATAGCATTATGCATTGTGAAGGGAGTGAAGAGAAAGAGAGCTTTTCTCCCTTGGAACTCAGGGGCGTCCACTGAACACTTGAATATTCAGGTCAGAAAAAAGTGCTTCACACAGCACATAGTTAAACTTTGGAATACTCTCCCACAAGACTCGGTGATGGTTGCCAAGTTGGATGGCTTTAAAAGAGACTTAGGCAAACTCATGGGGGATGAGACTCTCTGTGGCTACTAGTCCAGGAGGGCTGCTTTAGTTGGTGCCAAAATATTGTCCAAATGTGGGGGGGGGGAGCGATCAGCTGCCCTTCCAACTTGCCTCCAGAAGGGAGTCTTGCAGAACCACCAGTTTCCCCCATTCCCCTGGGGAGAGGGGCTTCTTCCTTGCCCCCCAATTCCTCTACTCCCATCTCACCCCTATTCCATGTTCCCCACTGCACTCCCTCCCCACTGATGCAGACCACCCGCGTGGCTGTTTCTCCCTCCCCCATTAAGTGCTCCCCTCAACCCCCCCCACCTCTCCGCGCTTAAAGTCCTAAACTGCTATTACCCCAAATCCTTTCTCTCCCGCACCTTTTTTTTTTAATGGATGCTCTTAACTTTATCCATCATTCCTCTTTGGGTGGATTATCCGAGCCAAGAGAGAGATAGGGGGGTTAAGAGCAGCGGGGGCAACACGTGTCCCCGTTAAAAGCTTTCCGCAGCTGTCGTGGTCTTTCGTTTTTCCGCCCCCCGCCCCCCAGTCACATACGCCAATCCCCGCGAGCCCAGGAGTCCTGCTGCCCCCCTCCCTCTCCCTAAGAGCTTTAGGAGGAGGAAGTGGAGGCGGCGGTCCAGAGGATGCTTTCCCCATCTCCGCCTCTGCCTGCATCTTCGCCTGCATCCCTGAGCATCCTTCCTCCTCCAACGCAGCGGGTCCCCTCGCCTCCCCCCCCCACAAAAAAGGCCGGCGGGGGAGGAGCCTGGCATGCAAATGAGGCCCAGCTAAACCGGGGCGAGGAGCGGCATCCCGGACAGCAGCTGTACTGAGGGTGCCCTCCCTCTCCTCTTCCTCGCCCCCCACTGCAGCCTGGCCAGTCCCCCCACATCTCAGCACCCCTCCCGTCTAAGATTTCCCTGCCCCCCCTTTTGCATGCAGCTCCCCCCACAGGGAAGGAGGCTGCCAGGCGCCCACAGCCCATAAGCCCCTGGGTGCATTGTGTGGGGGGGGACCACACCTTTGGGTGTTGGGGGGTCCCCGGCTGAGCCATGCAAGTTTCCATCGCCTGCACGGAGCAGAACCTGCGGAGCCGGAGCAGCGATGACCGGCTGTGCGGCGGGGGGACGCGCGGCCAGGGCAGCGGGGGGCAAGGCAACGGGGGGTACCAACCCCCCGGCAAGGGACCCCGGCTAGCCATGGGGCCGCGGGCGCCCGGGCAGAACCTGCCCCACATCGCCTTCCTCCTGAGGGAGTCCACCGGCCGGGCCACGGGCATGAACTACAGGTAGGGGCTTTTTTTCTGATGGGGGATGGGATATCGAGAGGGGGGGCTGGAGCGGGGGGAGGGGGTTTTAGGCTGGGGGGATCCATGGAGAGGGCTTGGGGGGGCAGGATGAAGGGAGCTGGTGCTCTGGCACGGGACCTCACCCCTGTCCCAGAGGAAGGTTAAAGGAGTTTAAACTGCTGGGGGGGGTTGTGGGGTTACCAAGGAGAACTCTCTGCCCGAGGGGGGCAGAGTCCCAATCGTTTGCAGGACACCCCACGGGAGGCGTCTGTGGTGTCTGCTGCCAATGGGGATGGGGTGGAGAGAGAGGATAGAGGATTTGGGGGGGGGGGTGTTCAGTCCCTTGGAAAGGGAGAAGGCGGATTCTGCAGATGAAGAAGGACCTTGCAGGGAAGACGCGATGGGGGGGGGGGGGGAGAGAGTCTCACACCACATGTGGAAGCAATATTTTTTGAGATGCTTCTTTGCAAAATTCTTGAGTGGGGGGGATGAAGAGGTGGGATTTTGGCTTTTTCTGAGGCTGGCAGCTCATCCTCTGCGGCGGGGGGGGCGCGCCTTTGTTGGGGTGCAGCTTGCGGGGGATGTGGTCCAGAGGGCAAGGAGAAGCAGGAAAGGCACGTTGGAGGGGAGCCAAATCCCAGGGGCAGCTATTGGGGGGGTGGGGAAAGGGGGGGAGTGTGAACTTGTCCCTTGTGGATACTTCGAGATAACGGGTCCCAGGACTCTTGGGTTCTTTGAGAAGAAATTCTGACCTACAAACAGAGGTTGTGTCAGGCCAGGATCCTACCCTAAATGTTGTGGGGGGGAGGTAAGAGAACTAGTGGGGTGAAGGAGGAAAGATTGGGGGGGTCCTGAGTAGAAAAGCTCTCCCTGAACCTCAAAAGGCTGAAGGGGAAGGGGAGGTTTCATCTAACTCTGGATTACGCAGCGAGTTCGGTTCCTCTTAGAGGAGCTGTTTTGGAATGGGGGGTGGGGAGGCACAAAGAGGCCAAAGCAGGGCCCCCCAGTAGTTACTGCTTTCGCCCCGCCCGCCCCCAAGCACAGACTCAGAACTGCACAGACGCCACACTTCCAATCTCTCTCTTCATATTTGGCATTTTAATCAAAGTTGGGACAGATCTCTGCTAACCCCAAGGTTAATCCATTTGCTCACAAGAAAGGGTGGGTGGGGAGGAGAGAGACTTGTAGGGCGGGGGGGGGGTGCTGTGCCTGTGAGCCAGGACGCCTGGGTTCTCTGAAACAGGGGGAGGGACATAGGATCTAGAGGGTTGGAGCAAGGAGGGGTGCATAAAGGCGGGGGAGGGAGGAACCCCCCCATGAACTTGTGAAAAAACTCTGAATGGAGGGTTTTTTAAAAAAAGGAAAATTGGGAGTGTGGGGTGGAATCATTGGAGCCCATCACCTCTGGGAGGTCAGGGAGGGGCGTGGGGGGGTAGTGGTAGCTTAACACAATCTGGAGAAAACCACAATCTGCAGGTTTCCCCAGAGAGGGATTGTGGCGAGGGAAGAAGGTCAAGTTTGGATGCTAAAAAAAAATTAAAGGCCACCTAGAATCTCTCTGCATTTGTTTTGGCGTAATGTCTGAATGTTGCAGTAATGCAGGGGTGGGCCGTGGAAGAGAAAGGAACTGGAACCCGCTCCCCCTCCCCAATCACTCCTTGAATCTTCCCTCATTCGCATCCCAGCCCAATTTAGGCCTGTGCTATGTATAAACACCCCTCTGGCACAAGTCCTCAGACCCAGGAAGGGCAGTGAGGCCTAGTGGTGGTGTTTCATGAAGAGGCTGTTATTTCTGCTGAGTGTTTTTTGGGGGGAGGGATATATGAAAATGTGAAGGCAGGAGGACTCTGGGGTTTCCTTTTATGTGCTGTGTGTGTTTTGTGTGTGTTTTACCTGCCTAGAAATAGGTTGTGGGGGAAGAGGGGAAGGGAGCCAGGACTCCTGAGTTTTCTGGCACAGGCGTGGAGCCGAGTGGAGTGGGTTTCCGAGTGAGGTTGGGATGGGCCTGGCAGGCGGCCAGGACTCCTGGGTCCAATTCCCCTGGTGCACCACAGAGTAGGGTTGTTGCTGGGGCTGGCCGGCTTCCAAACCGCCTCGCAGAGCCCATAATTGCCGCTCTGCGCCTCTGCTCAGGTTGCCCTGGGCCGGAGCCAGCCCAGTTCCGAGGTTGGAAAGCCAGATTAAAAGCAGGAGATGCTGAACTTTCAACAGGAGTCATGTCTGTTCCTTGGGGGCTGTGGGAAAGTGGGGAGGGGGCAAGGGAGCAGCAGGGGTGAGGAGCCGGGGGGACTTGCATGGCAGGGGGGGAGCGGTCCTAGCTAGAGGTGAAGGTCAAGGACCTCAGTTCTGCAAGAAAGAAAGAAATTAATATGTATACGTGTTTGTGTGTGTATGCGTTCGCGCAGAGGAGGTTGGTGTATTTATGAAAAAATACAGGTATAGTGTTCTATTTTGGGCCGCAAATTGTATTCCCGCTTCTGATCTCATTCCTCTTGAAGATGTAGATGAAAACATTGCTGAATATTTATTATTTATGTTCAGTGTTTATATCCAACCATTGCTGTGTACAGAAGGCGCCTAAGGAAGTTTATGGCATATTAACTTTTGGGGGGGGAAGGAGGATAAGTGCATTGTACAGAGGAAACCCCAAACTGAGGTTTAAGTGCATGGGGAGGGGCGATCACTAAAATCAGAAGAGAGCAAAATTTGTGCTGGAGGCTGAGTGAAAGTCTTTTTCAGCTAGTGACCCCTGAGCATGTAGAGAGTGCTTTTTTGCATACCACTGAACCGGCACAAGCAGCCATCGCACATGCCATTTTCAGCACCCAGTAACCACCAACAGTATCTGGACTTGGAGTGTCACCCGCTGGAATAGGTTTTGATTACACTCAGGGAGATTGATGGATTATTAGTCACTTTATTGGGCCTCCAGGATTTGGGGTGGGTGTGTGGAGTAATGTCCCCCCTGGCCAGGTGACTGAGGGTTTTCCTGCAGGTTGACCAGCTGGCTTGAGTCACCTGGGGCTATCACTTCCAAAGGGCCAAGCGCTCTGGATACCTGTGGCAGAAAACCCAGTCTTGCCCCTTGGCACACAAGCCTTTAGAGATGCTCAGTATGGCTTGCACAGGAGATATTCCCTGTAGGATTGTGCCCTGGGGTTAGACAGATCTATAGGACCCCAGTAACCTACCCCTCCTACCATCTGCACCCTGTTCTCTACTTGGACCAGGTAGCTCACCCTTTGCCAACCTGATGCCGCCGCCCCCCAGCTAGCTGCTTTGAGCTACAACTCCCAGCAGTCCCAGTCAGCATGGGGTGTGTGGTCCCTGCGTTGCAGGCAAGCGCCTTGTCTTAAAGAATTTAGGAAGTGGACGGGGGCTCCCCTGTCCTTTAATATGGCCTTATGATCTGGCACGGGCTCAGGGCTCGGTATGTTGTTGTTGTTGTTTAGTCGTCTAGTCGTGTCCGACTCTTTGTGACCCCCTGGACCAGAGCACGCCAGGCACTCCTGTCTTCCACTGCCTCCCGCAGTTTGGTCAAACTCATGTTTGTAGCTTCGGGAACACTGTCCCACCATCTCGTCCTCCGTCGTCCCCTTCTCCTTGTGCCTCCATCTTTCCCAACATCTTCTCATGAGGTGGCCAAAGTCTTGGAGCCTCAGCTTCAGGATCCGTCCTTCCAGTGAGCACTCAGGGCTGATTTCCTTCAGAATGGATAGGTTTGATCTTCATGCAGTCCATGGGACTCTCAAAAGTCTCCTCCAGCAGCATAGTTCAAAAGCATCCATTCTTCGGCGATCAGCCTTCTTTATGGTCCAGCTCTCACTTCCATACATCACTACTGGGAAAACCAGAGCTTTAACTATACGGACCTTTGTTGGCAAGGTGATGTCTCTGCTTTTTTAGATGCTGTCTAGGTTTGTCATTGCTTTAGGGCTGGGTATATTGTTCCATAAAACCCACCTTTAGGAAGTTGAGCTAGAGGACGCTTTGGGTCCCTCCTCCCAACTTTAAAATTCTATGGTTCCTTCTGAGCGATTGAGGTTGTTCTGGTCCACTGGAGAGTTGTGGGGGCCCCCGCGATTGAGTTTCTGGCCTGTCTCCCCTCCACCATCTGTTTTCCACAGCTCCCTTATGGTTTAATTATGAGGCCAAGTCACGATCCGTATCCGCGCGGCAGCTGGTGGGTAGGGTACTTTCATACTTGCCCCCGATGTGGGGAAGGGGGGAGAGAATGGGGTTGCCATAACCACCTCTCTCTCTCACCTCCCCCTGCCCCTCCAAGGGAGACCTCTGGCTCAGTAGCAGAGCATCGGGTGACGGGTTCAATTCCAGGCTGGGAGACACACACACACACACACACACACACACACACACACACTGCCATGTGAAATCCCAGAGGGTTGCTGCCAGTCTGTGCAGGTTTTTGTAGAATCATAGCATTGTAGAGTTGGAAGAGGGACCCCCATACTGCATATAACACTAACGTCTCACAATAAATGTGATTGATCTGCAGAAAACACAACCTGAAAAAAGAGACAATGCTCGTACTTTTGTAAACTAAGAAAATCTTTAATAAACATTATTTTTGAAAAAGTTCTTCCTGACATTTAGTTGGAATCTCCATTATTGTCATTTGGATGGCTGGGAGTGGGGTTATTGGTCTGTTTCCTTTTTGTTCCTGATTTTATTATGTATTTTGTGCTTTCACATTGTATTTTTATGCTGTCAACTACCCTGAGATCTATGGATGAAGGGGAGTGTAAAATGAAATAAATATTGAATTACGTTTGGTTCGGGTCTTACCCTCTGGGGCAGCGGAAAAAACAAACTTGCTCCATCTTCCATGCGACAGACGTAGATTTTTCTACGTAGCTGAGCAGGGGTTTCCTGTCTGTGGTCCATGGGGCAGCTGTGGTCGTCACACTTCATTCAGGTGGTCTTGGGTGGTATGTCTGTAAAAATGCAATTAAGAATCACGCAGCACCTGGTACAGTGCATTACAACTTGCCACAGAAGGCAGGAAAAGTAATAAGTGGTCTGCCATGGAGCAAGAAAACTGCTAGTACTTTTGCAAAGCTAAGCAGGGTGTGGTCTGGTTTTGAACTGGATGGGGAACCATATGTTGAGATTCCTGCATTGCAAAGGGTTGGACTAAACGACCCTCTGGTCTCCTTCCAGCTCTACATACAAATCTACAACTCTAAGACCCTCAGAAATTTCCAAGTGGTCTGCAGCAGAGGCGCTGATACAGAGTTTGGGAACCGCAGGAGTTATTGAAGAGGGATGATGAGCAAATCTCCACCTGCTTAATGTCTGTGTGTCCTGTTCCGGCACAGGAGCAAGGGCACTGAAAGAAGTTGGCAACTGTTGTTGTTGTTTAGTCGTTTAGTCGTGTCCGACTCTTCGTGACCCCCTGGACCAGAGCACGCCAGGCACTCCTGTCTTCCACTGCCTCCCGCAGTTTGGTCAAACTCATGCTGGTAGCTTCAAGAACACTGTCCCACCATCTCGTCCTCTGTCGTCCCCTTCTCCTTGTGCCCTCCATCTTTCCCAACATCAGGGTCTTTTCCAGGGAGTCTTCTCTTCTCAGGAGGTGGCCAAAGTCTTGGAGCCTCAGCTTCAGGATCCGTCCTTCCAGTGAGCACTCAGGGCTGATTTCCTTCAGAATGGAGAGGTTTGATCTTCTTACAGTCCATGGGACTCTCCAGAGTCTCCTCCAGCACCAGAATTCAAAAGCATCAATTCTTCGGCGATCAGCCTTCTTGATGGTCCAGCTCTCACTTCCATACATCACTACTGGGGAAAACTAGCTATTTACTACGGTATATCTTTAATCTGAGCTTCTTCAAGGAGCTTAAGGCATTGAACCTAGTTCTCCCTACCCCACCCATTTCATCTTCACAACAACCTTGCCAGGCAGGTTAGGCTGAGATAGAGAGTGACTGTGAGGTCCATAGCTGAGCAGGGATTTGAACCTGGGCCTTCCCAGGCCTGGACTGAGACTGTGAGTCAACCTTGCCCTTGAAGGTCAAAAAAAGGGAAGGAAAGGAAAGAGACGGGAATTGCCCAGAGTGATTGATCCCTACTTCTTGTTCTGTGGAAAGAGCAGCACTTACTGGGTTCAACAAGAAAATGCAGAGGCTCGAAACTATTTGCAAGTCACCCGGGAGAGCCCCTTCTCATTCCCCAGTGTGTCGCTATGATGAAACGCACTCTGTGCATACTCTATGGCACTGCCTTTAATACTGACCTGTGTTTTTAGAACCTGCCTTGTTTTTCAACTTCTAAGTTGTTTTGAACTGTTTTGAATATTGCGCTTTGTTAGCGTAACCTGCTCAGGCACATTAGGGCGAAGGGTGGGAAACAAACAAACATTCAGCCGTGCTTATCTCACAGCTTTTGGGGGGCTTCTTCCACAACAACCTTACTAATATTAGTGCAACCGTTGAGCAGCCTTTGTCCAAAGAGCTCTGCAGCAACACCCGCCAACTTGTTGTTGTTGTTTAGTCGTTTAGTCGTGTCCGACTCTTCGTGACCCCCTGGACCAGAGCACGCCAGGCACTCCTGTCTTCCACTGCCTTCCGCAGTTTGGTCAGACTCATGCTGGTAGCTTCGAGAACATTGTCCAACCATCTCGTCCTCCTTTGTCCCCTTCTCCTTGTGCCCTCCATCTTTCCCAACATCAGGGTCTTTTCCAGGGAGTCTTCTCTTCTCAGGAGGAGGCCAAAGTATTGGAGCCTCAGCTTCAGGATCCGTCCTTCCAGTGAGCACTCAGGGCTGATTTCCTTCAGAATGGAGAGGTTTGATCTTCTTGCAGTCCATGGGACTCTCCAGAGTCTCCTCCAGCACCAGAATTCAAAAGCATCCATTCTTTGGCAATCAGCCTTCTTTATGGTCCTGCTCTCACTTCCCTACATCACTACTGGGAAAACCATAGCTTTAACTATACGGACCTTTGTTGGCAAACTTAAATGGCTTTAAAAGAGGATTAGACAAAATCGTGGAGGAGAGTGCTCTTGAATGGCACTGGAAACCACAGGAAGGGAGAGGGGCTCTGGCTGACCACTGTGAGAACAGAATTCTGGACTAGATGGGACACTGGCCTGAATCATAGAATTGGAAGGGACCTCCAAGGGTTATCCAGTCCAACCCCCTGCAATGCAGGAATTTTCTTGTGTTCTTATCTCTGCTCCACCCCAGAAGTAGCGGCAGCGGCAGCAGCTGAACCCACCCCTGCCCTTCGCCCCACCACCATTTCCTCTAAAGTCCTGCTCTGCCCCATCCCCACCCCCACCCCATTATCTCAATAGCAGAAGCTCCCAGCCATCGGCTGCAGTGACCCCATTTCCAAGCCCCGAGATCAGGCTCCCATCTATTTTTATCCTCCGTTAACCGCTCACAGCGGTGGCTCCGCTGGTTAACGAAGCTGCGAGAGGCACGCTGGGCAGACGGCAGCGCTAATGAACACGAAGCGGAGGGGGAAAGCGAGGCTCCAAGAGGAAGCCGGACACCTCCCAGGGCGCTTGGTGCAGTCACTCGGGGGAAAGTGCCCGCGAGAGGAACCCATGAGTCCTGGCTGTGCTCGCTTCCAGATCCGTCACTCAGCCGATTTGCACAATGAACCAGTTAAGAGAGATTAAGTCCACCCTGGGATTGCATTTTTGTGATGCAGGCAACTAATGCCAAAATGTAATTCAGGAGATGAGACTTGGGCACAGGAGGACATCATCATCATCATACCAGCATTACAAAATTCCAGCTGTTTTCTACTCATTCTTCACCAATACTTTATCAAGCCCTGACCAAGCCTTCACCTATGTCTTGAAAGGTGCAAGTTCCCCCAGTTAGTAGAACCATATGCTGCAAAGTTTTGCTAAGATGTACCATCTCACATTGGGATGCGGGTGGCGCTGTGGGTTAAACCACAGAGCCTAGGACTTGCCAATCAGAAGGTCGGCGGTTCAAATCCCCACGACGGGGTGAGCTCCCATTGCTCGGTCCCTGCTCCTGCCAACCTAGCAGTTTGAAAGCACGTCAAAGTGCCAGTAGATAAATAGGTACCGCTCCGGCGGGAAGGTAAACGGCGTTTCCGTGCGCTGCTCTGGTTCGCCAGAAGCGGCTTAGTCATGCTGGCCACATGACCCAGAAGCTGTATGCCGGCTCCCTCGGCCAGTAAAGCGAGATGAGCGCCGCAACCCCAGAGTCGGTCACGACTGGACCTAATGGTCAGGGGTCCCTTTAACTTTACCTTTTTACCATCTCACATTAGAAGTGAGGAATAGCATGTTTGAATGGTCTCTCATATAAATGGTCTTCTGCATATGCTGCCTCTTTTTCGGTGCCCTCTCGGACGCAGCAGCAGTTGGAGTGTTGATGGGCATCCCGGTGCATGCACTCTGCTTGGCGCAAGCTAAGAGGTGGCACGAGCCGGCTTGGATCGATATGTTGCTCTGTAGGTTGGAAGGAAAATGATATGTTTGAGGAAGCAGAGTTTCAGATGTGCTCTAGCAAGGCATGCCACTACAGGCTAGACCAGTGGTTCCCAACTGGGGGTCCGGGGGTCTACAGAACACAGGCAGGAGGTCCGCGGCACCATCCCCTGCCAGGGACTCACTTCTCTTGTTAGTTGAACAGTGAAAGCCACAATAATGATCCAAGGATCACTTAGCCTCTGCTCATGACCAGGGCCTTCTCGCTGGCAGGGGGGAAACCTGTGAGTTTCTGGGTGGCAAGTGAGCTGGGATTGGGCACAAACATCTGATACAGTTTCTTTGGGCTCTTGCAGAGAGAGAGAGAGAGAGAGAGAGAGAGAGAGAGAGAGAGAGCGCTCCATGGGATGGGTTCACATGCTTACCAGTTCTTTTAAAAATCTAAGGGTTGAACTGCCGGTTGCAAGCGCTGCAGGTTGCGAACGTGCCTCCCGCACGGATCACGTTCACAACCCGAGGTTCCACTGTAGAACCCTTGCAAGTCAGGGACTCAATTGCCGTTTTTAGTCAGTTGTAGTGGAGCAATGGAAACAAGTTTTTCCTACTGTCTGGGGGTAGGCAATTTGTGGAAATATCACAAATTTTATGGTCTGTTGGTGTGTTTTTTTGGTTTGTTTGTTTTTACTATACCTAAGATCCTTTGCTTATTAGGGGCCACCCCACATTTTCTTCAAAAAATTGCTTTGCACAGACCATATAGAGTTATCAAAATTTTCAAAAGTAGGGGGCCCGTGGTTTGGCTTTTGAAAAATCGGGGGTCCTCAGTAATTAGCTAATTGGGAACCACCTGGCCTAGACCTCAAGGAATCTCTCCCTTGTCCCAGTTTGCTTAGCTTTACACTTAACGTAAAATAAAATGAACCCAGTTTTCCCCTCATCGGCAGGCCTTCTCTTGGGAACCCCCCCCCCCCTTGTTGTGTTGTCTGTTGGATTTGATGGAAATGTCCTTGGGGGAGATACTGTGTCGCTCCGTGCTGCTATTAGTATTTCATAAACGTTCTACACTCCTTGATTGCAGGAAGAACCTCAAAGCAGTTGGGGGGGGGAGATAAAGGAATAAAGTGACCACTAAGAATTATTTACAACACTAGAAAGCTGTAACTTACAGAAAGTTGAAACACTAAACAAGTTGAAACTCACCTCGGCTTTCTAAGCACCTGGGTAGGCTTGTCTAAACAATATTTTTTCCCCAGCAGGGCGTTCCAAGGAGCAGGTCTTGCAAATACAGAAAGGGTGTTATGTGGGACCTGTAAAAGTGCCAATTCCACCGACTGAAGCAGTCTAGTGGGCTCATGTGGGAAGGATAATAATAATAAATAATAATAATAATAATAATAATAATAATGCTTATTATTATTACTTAATGCATTTTTGTCTCACCTTTCTCCGAAGTTGGGAATCAAGGTGGCTTGTGACATATATAGATATATATAGATATATCTTCATAAAATACTGTTGTGGGTTTGGGAGGGGAAGTTTAGATTTTGGCCTGAGTCCCTTCCAATTCTGGGGGTCATGTACTCTGTGAGGGTTATACTCTATCAGAGGAGGAGGACGCGATGCGAGGAGCTTAGGATTGGATATCCGAATGGAGGTCATCAAAGAGGCTTAACATTCTCCTTTCCTTCCTCCCGCACAATCTAAACACTCTGTGACGGTGCAGTGGGACTGAGGACTTCATAAGCAAGTGTGACTGGCCCAAGGTCACCCAGCAATATTGCTGCAGGTGGAGGACTGTTTCAGGATGACGAACAGAACCTGTGCTCCCAGAGTTGCAGCAGGCTACGGCTCTAACCACTACACCACAGAGCAACTGCTCTATTCCAAACTTTAAAATGAAAAGTGTCAATGTTGGTGCAGATCAACAGAACGAGGTTTAAAGACTGTCTCAAGGCAAATCTAAAAAAATGTAGTATAAACACCTACAATTGGGAAACACTTGCCTGCGAGCGCTCCAGTTGGAGAACAGCCTTGACCAAAGGTGTCGTGGGCTTTGAAGACACTCGAACTCAGGACACAAGGGAGAAACGTGCTAAGAGGAAGGCACGCTTGGCAAATCCACATCGTGATCAACTCCTGCCCAGAAACCAATGTCCCCACTGCGGAAGGACGTGTGGATCCAGAATTGGCCTCCACGGTCACATACGGACTCACTGTTAAGACCGTGTTTATGGAAGACAATCTTACTCAGCTATGAGGGATAGAAGAAGAAGAAGAAGAAGACTATCAGAGGAGGTTGCTGAACTGGTCAGACAAGTTTGTAAGGCAGTGACCTTAACTGGCCACTTGTCCTCATCAACATCCCAAAAGAATGGAATGGGTTGCAAGAGCCCAACTAAGTGATGGCCCCCCCTCCAGTCAAATGGGTGGGTTTTTCCTCCACCTGCCTCCGCTAGCAGCTATTAGCCAGAGCTGTGTATGAGAGAGCAGGAAAAAGGCTGGGAGCTGGAGGCACAGAGACCTGCTTGCTTTGTGCTGGATGCAAGGCTGCGACTTAAAGAGAAGGAATATCTTTGGGGGCATTAATGCTGCGAGTCGTTCATCTTGTGCTCAGATTGTAAACAGGTGTGAACAAAACCATATATCCTAAGGCTCTGCTGACCTTCGTTCCAAGAAAACTGAACTCTGGGCAGGTGCTGGAATTCCTGGAATCTCACGCTGCTGGGAGATTGCGGTGGTGCGTAACAACACGAAGGCACAAAAGCCATAGTTAAAATACATCAGAACTCATTTAGAACCAGCAAATAAAATATAGTTTGCCCTGGCAGCATCGTCTGCAGCTTGGTTTTCTGAACGGGGAGGTCTTAGCTTGCTGGCAGAAGGAAAGCAAAGAGGAAGCAGTCTAACCTCTCTTGGGAGGGAATTTCACAATATGGGAGCCACCACCGAAAAGGCTCTCTCCTGTGTCATCACCAGCCAAGCCTGGGACTGAGAGAAGGTGCTCACTCAAGGATTTTGTCACCTGGGCAGGTTTGTATAGGGAGATGGATATACGTTTACAGGACCCAGCATACAGTTATATGAAATCTTCAGTGGTAAACCGTTGCTGTAAGAGCACTTCACTTGCAGGATTCCAAGGGGCTCCCACACAGCAAAACATTTATCTTAACTTTGGTTTAGCCTGGATTGAAGTTCCTCCTTTTTCCCTTTTTTGCAGGAACCTTGGCAAATCGGGGCTTCGCGTTTCCTGTCTCGGCCTGGGTGAGTTCATGGGAGAAGGGGGACACTAGGAATGGCCGGGGGTTGCAATATGACTGCTTTGGGGCAGTAATGCGGAGAGGGCAGTTTGTACGTGCTCAGAGGCACTCTTCACAAGCCCCAAGGCCATAATCTGCCAGAGCATTCCGTGACATCAGCAAGGCCCCCTTCAGATTACGCTGTGTCCAGTGGGTTCATTTGCTGGGATGGGGCTTTTCACTGTGGCTCTTGGGTAGAGCTAGGAGTGTGGCCTGGCTGCGCATATCCATCTCAAGATCTTGATCTCTCCTCTTGCAGGTACTTGGGTAACATTTGGGTCGCAGATCTCAGATGAGGTAAGTCCAAGCCCCATGCCCCATCTACCCTCCTCCCTGCTGGAGATTTTCCTGCCAGCCATTATTTGACACTTATCTCCCTCTCTCGTTTTTTTTGAGATGGCGGAAAATGTGCTCACCATCGCTTACGAGAACGGGGTCAACCTCTTTGACACGGCCGAGGTCTATGCTTCTGGCAAGTATGTCTGGCTGTTCCGCCCTCGGCTCTTTGCAGGATTGCTGCCACCTTTCTGCCTGCACCTCAAATAGCCTTGTGTGACAGGGAGAAATTCAACAGGGGAAGCTGCATTCCCACACCGGAGGAAGCAACGCCTTCTGAATTTCTGCCTGCCCCGCAGCTGGCAACCCTAGGCTGTGGCCATCTTTATTCTGAGCTGCATGACATGAACGAGTCTCTCTGGGGTTGGAAGGGGAATCATAGGGGTCTTGGCACTTGCATTCCCCCTGCCAAGTCACTCTCAGTAACTACCGTATTTTACGCTCTATAGGACGCACTTTTCCCCTCCAAAAAAGGGGAAATGTGCGTGCATTCTATGGAGCGAATGCAGGCTCCTTGGCTTCAGCGATAGCAACACGAAACCTCCGAAGCGCAGAGGGAGTGCTCCCTCTGTGCTCCGGAGGCTTCACGTTGCTTTCGCTGAAGCCTGGAGAGTGAGAGGCGTCGGTGCGCACCGACCCCTCTCGCTCTCCAGGCTTCAGGGATAGCCACCTGAAGCCTTCGGAACGCAGCACGAGTTCCCACTGCGCTCCGCAGGCTTCGGGTTCCTTTTGCTGAAGCTGGGAAAGCAAGACTCTCCTGGCTTCAGCAGAGAGGGAGAGCTGCGCAGCGTCCCTTCAGCCAAGAGGGAGGAGAAATGGAAGGGGCTCCGTTTCTCCTGCCGCTTCGCTGAAGGGGCGCTGGGCAGAGAGGGGAAGATTTTTTTTCTTGTTCTCCCCTTCTAAAACAAGGTGTGTCCTATGGTCGGGTGCGTCCTATAGAGCGAAAAATACGGTGATTTCTCTAGAAGGCGGCCCTGAAACCCCAAATCTGGGAGCCAACCCATCTGATTTATCGGCCCAGCCTTCCTAGGCAGTGGTAGAAGAGTGGTACTCTTCCCATGCTCAGAAGCCCTCTCACCTTTACTCTTCTCTGTGTGGCCTGTTCTAAGTTTGAGACCTGGCTTGATGGCTGGGGATAAGGAAATACCCTGGGTGTGAAATCTTCCCCTTCCCTACGGATTACAGTAAACTCAGCCCTTGCTGTCCTGTGAGACTTCTGCCCGCCAGACATGTCCAAAGCAAAGAGCTGTCTCAAGGCTTTTCAGAATGCGGTAATTAAAGCCCCGTGACATGATTCTGTCAGGCTGAATTTGGGGGCTAGCTGGCTCTGAAGGAAGGCAAGTTGGGACGGGGATGCAACCTGCCACAGGGTGATGTAAAGTGATTGGGTGAGCGAGATAATTTGAACGGAGGACGCAGGTAGCGTCTCCTTGCGCCAGCAATAGCAGGGACATCCATAGATCAGGAATGTAGTATGGCGACAATTCAACAACAGCAATCCCCAGAGATGGCCAGAGCAAACATTGCAAAATATGGGGGGGGGGGGGAGAAATTTATGCCATTTCATCAAATTTTGAAATGTAGTATATTCCATATCTCAGTTCAGCAGCTGTCACTATCTTAGTTGGCTGCAGTTATGACGACAAAAAGTATTGTGGCTACCTTAAAGATGAACAGATTTATTGCAGCATTAGCTTTCGTGATCTAGCAGGGCACATTGTCAGATGCAGCAAGCATGGCGTGTTAAATTCATCTGCCATATTTATACGATGGATGGGATGCTAGCAGTGGGGGCCGAGTAGGATTGGCTCAGCTGCGTTCAAGCCCAGCATGGAAAATGTCTCGTCTCTCTAACTTTGCTGGGAAAGAGAAAGAGAACTATAGTCATGGGAAAGAGGACTATAGTCTCAGTTGAGCCCCAAACAAATAAAATCAAATTTGTAGATACACCGTACCTTCTAGTTCATGAATCCTGCACTCAGATTTCCCTTGAAAGCTTTTTAAATAAAATCTATACACCAGTTGATTGTTGTTGTTTTTTTAAAAAACAACCCTCAAAGTGCTTTACAAGTAGTATAAAACAATAAAATTAATCAGTCAAAACAACCATTTAAAGCATTCAAATAATATAATTAGCAATAAACTAAAAACAAATTAAAACGTACACCAGCATTCCACATGTCTGGGTAGGCTTGTCGAAACAAAAAATACTTTTAGCAGGTGTTGAAAAGAGTACAGTGAAGGCACCTGCCTGATTCCAATAGGCAGGGAGTTCCAGAGTTAGGTGTTGCCATCCTAAAAGATTAGTTTCTTATAAATGTGGACGGGGTAACAGTGCCCCTGTGTTAACCGATAACAGTGCCAGTTTTGATGGGAAACCGACTTTCAGCTCAGCAGCAAAATTGCCCTTGAGAAACTGAAATATTTTCCCAATAAAATATGGCAGTGAGAGTAAACAACTTCAAGGCCCATCAGTACAGAGCACCAAGCCAAAAAAACAAACAAAAACCCTGTGCTCGACACTGATTGCATCTGAAGCTGTTCCTTTGCAGTTTGCTTGTGATACTTATTGCTGGAAGGCGGAAAAAACAAAATTAATTCACCCTGCAAGGCGGAAACCATCTGCTGGCTTTGTGTCCATGCTGAAGGCCATTTTGTCAGTTGCTTTTTTCAGTCCTTTTGACTGTTTTTTTTTGGGGGGGGAGGGGTTTCTTGTTCTGAGTCCCACCAGATGATTGGAAGTAGATATTAAAAGTCATTTATGTGAGGAATTTCTGAGGAGTCAACCAGACGTGTGTGTGTGTGTGTGTGTGTGTGTGTGTGTGTGTACTGTATATACACATATATACACATATATACATAAAATTCTGTCTTCTTTTCTTATTCAGAGCAGAAAAAACATTGGGGAATATCTTGAAGAGCAAAGGATGGAGGTAAACACACACATACGTTTACTACTTACTGATTTCCTAAAATGTATATACCATTTGATTGTAAACAAAAATTCAAAGCAATTAATGAAAAGAGTTCATCAGTTGAAATGGAAACATAATGAACATTCTGTTGTCTATATAACGGGATTTACACTCTTTGGAGAGCCAGGTGGCTTGTCTTCGGTTGATGATATACAAAAGTTGTAACTGTGTATATCTAAGAATCAATAAGATATGCTAATGAGAGAGAATTGACCAAATTAATGGTATAAGCAATTATGTAATAAATCATTCAAAAAATTTAAAACAGCAGTACACTAAAAACACACCAGCATTTGAGATATCTCAGTAGGTTTGTTTCAGCAGGTGCCAAAAAGAGTGCAGTGAATGTTCCTGCCCAATATCAAGAGGCAGGGAGTTCCGAAGGGTGGGTGTTGCTGTACTAAAAGATGAATTTCTTACAAATGCAAAACATGTTTCACATGGCGCTTGAAACAGTGCCAGTTCCAAGGATTAAAGTGGTCAAGTGGGCACATTTGGTATGGCGACCTCGTAGGTAAACTGGTCCCTCATTGTTTGGGGCTTTATATGCTAATATAGTAGGGACGCGGGTGGCGCTGTGGGTTAAACCACAGAGCCTAGGACTTGCCGATCAGAAGGTCAGTGGTTCGAATCCCCGCGACGGGGTGAGCTCCCGTTGCTCAGTCCCTGCTCCTGCCAACCTAGCAGTTTGAAAGCATGTCAAAGTGCAAGTAGATAAATCGGTACCGCTCCAGCGGGAAGGTAAAGGGCGTTTCCGTGCGCTGCTCTGGTTCGCCAGAAGCGGCTTAGGTCATGCTGCCCACATGACCCGGAAGCTGTACACCGGCTCCCTCGGCCAATAAAGCGAGATGAGTGCCGCAACCCCAGAGTAAGTCACGACTGGACCGAATGGTCAGGGGTCCCTTTACCTTTACCTTTATGCTAATATAGTAACACCTTGAACTTGGCCCAGTAGCAAATCGGCAGCCAGGGCAAATCTCTGAGCAGAGGTGCTGCACGCTGACAGGGTCTCACCCCTGCCGGCAATCGTGTTGCAGCATCCGGCACTAACTGCAGCTTCCGGATCAAGCGCGAGGGAAGCCCTACATAGAGAGCATCACAACAATCTGGTCTTGAAGTAGCCAGTGCAGGAACTATGATGGCCGAGCTTTCCTGGTCCAGGAATGGTCATAACTTCTGTAGCAGTTTCACAGCTGCCCACCTGTCCGTCAATATCTTCCGCCTTCTTCCGGATTTGGCAAGCAGTGCTTTGGGTTACCAACCGCTGCATCCTCACTAATTTCTTTCTTCTTCTTTTGTTTATAATTTTTATTAAGTTTTCTGTTTTACAATTTAAAATACTAATTTTACACCCTTAAGATATCAATGAGTTCCCTTCTTCTCTTTCCGTGGTTCATTTTACATATCATAAATCTCTGCATATTTTACAAAAACTACACTATTCAGTATTTCATTATTGCATCCATCAAAACTTGTTTCTACTGTTGAATTTATCTTAATGCTGCCAGCATTTTCAGCTGTACACAGTTATTTCCCATATATTTAATAAAAGCTTTTCCTTCTTTAAACGTATGTTCTTCTTGTTCTCACATTCAATATGTTAAGTCTGTGAGTTGTGCATATTCTGTCAACTTAAGCTGACACTCTTCTTTAGTTGGGACCTCGCTCGTTTTCCAATTTTGGGCTAACGAAACACGGGCCGCAATAGTGGCATACATAAATAATCTTTTTTGACACCTGGGAATTTCAGTCTGAATTATCCCCAACAGAAAGGACTCTGGTTTGGGGGAAGGGAAGTACGGTACTTTTAAACATTTTTTTCAATTCATTATGGATCATTTCCTCACTAATTTCTCCTATCTCTGCTCCACAGGCGTTCGAGCTATGTTGTCACCACCAAGATTTACTGGGGAGGCCAGTAAGTACTCAAGGGACCTAGTTAATCAATGGGGAGGGAAGGGGTTGTAGGGAAGGAATCTGTGCGTGCGAGTTGAATTTGTCGTGTGTGGAGAGCAGTGGCCCTGTCCAGTTGTGGGGTGCTAGTTGCAGGTGAAAAGGAAGCTGGCAGAATCCTAAGCCTTCCTACAACCCCAGTTGGTGGAGCTGGGAGGTTGTTGTGGGGAGAACCACATATGCCCACCCAGAGCTCTGTTAAGGAAAAAATCCCAGGGTGAGAGACTCCAGAGCCCAGCTCGTCAGGGTGCAAGTCCCACGCGGGTCCATGTGGTCAGTAAAAGAAGGAAGTTCCAGCCAAGTAATTTGGAGCAAAGCAAGCCATCAGTAGACCATGATCTTTCTTGTTGCACAACAGGTCCCCTCAAGAGTAAGAACCCCGAGCTAGGGGTGACATCCTCTTTCTCATGAGGAGGCCAAAGTCTTGGAGCCTCAGCTTCAGGATCTGTCCTTCCAGTGAGCACTCAGGGCTGATTTCCTTCAGAATGGAGAGGTTTGATCTTCTTGCAGTCCATGGGACTCTCCAGAGTCTCCTCCAACACCAAATTCAAATGTCACAAATGGGGAGGGGTGTACAAGGGTTACACGAGTTCAACATTAGGTCACTTTATCAGACACCTTTCCCAACACCTCTTAAGTACCCATCATCCAAAGAACAATAAAACAGCCTTCTGGCAGTTCCCTCATTGCGAGAAGCAAAGCTACAGGGAACCAGGCAGAGGGCCTTCTCGGTGGTGGCGCCTTCCTGTGGAACGCCCTCCCATCAGATGTCAAGGAAATAAACAACCACCTGACGTTTAGAAAACATCTGAAGGCAGCCTTGTTCAGGGAAGTTTTTAATGTGTGACATTTTAATGTATTTTTAATCTTTGTTGGAAGCTGCCCAGAGTGGCTGGAGAAACCCAGCCAAATGGGCGGGGTACAAATAATAATTATTATTATTATTATTATTAAATGCATCCTCGCCCCCCATGTCATTTCCATAACAGCTCCTTGGACAAAAACGTGGGATATAGATGCAATAAATTAGTATAAAGAAGCAAACCTCAGTCTGCCTTCAACCCTCCCCTTGTCCTGTCCCTTTCCTGCCCTTCTTACCTGCAACCAACCAGGGTGGGCGACCTCGCCTGCCAGCTTCCTGCCCCTTGGTCTCAGTGATGCCTCCTGTATAACACAGCAGTGGATGAAGATAGGAGCAAAATTACAATAAGTCCGTTCCTCCTGCTATCGTCTCTGGCTTCTCCCCCCATTGACCTCTCTGCCTCCTGCCCCACCAAAGGGCAGCAGTGGGTAAATGGTAAGGGCTTGCAGTGTCTCAGTTTTGTAGTATCGTAGAGCTGGAAGGGACATGACAGGGGGCCACCCAACCTCTGCTTAAAAGACTCCAGGAAGGGAGAGTGCACTGTCCGTTTCGCTGTCAAACAGCTCTAAGCACCCCCAAAGCTCCTCCTAACATTCAAGTTTTTCCCCTTATTTTCTTCCAAGGGCTGAGACGGAGAGAGGCCTGTCACGGAAACACATCATTGAGGGTAAGGGGGGAGCTGGGCTTGATATTTCAGGGTTTGGGGGGAGGGAAGTTACCACAATATGCTGGATGGCAAAAGCATTTGGTGGATTGAGGGATCTGGGAACTACCAGAGGGGTGGCAAAAGGGTACAAGGATTTGGAGGGGTTGAAGAAGATGAAATTTGGGGTGAATGGGAGTTGGGGATCCAGGGTTCTTTCTTGATGCCATTCTCAATAGTTAGATCTCTGGGGTGCTTCTCAATTTCTGCTATTTTGAAGTGGGATTCTGGGTGCATAGTTAAAGTCAATTGGGAGGCCTTGTGCAAGGAATCCCACTCCCCCAAAGTTTGGACCTTTTTTCTTTTGCTATGGGGCAAATGCTCCAGAAAGTGTGGGGCTGCCCTTGCTTTCACCTACATTCCCTGCGGACAAATGGGGCTGGATTCTCATTAAATGACAGAAGACATTACCAAGGGTGTCTCTGAGGCTGACGGAGTCCAAGATGTCTGGGCAAATGTTATGAGGATGCATGCGCAATAGGAACCTTGCTTGGAAGAGCCCCTGGAGATCAGGAGACGTGCGTCTGCAGCTGGGGGCCCTTGCCTCTGGGGCAAGCTTTCCTTTCGGGGCTGGAGCAGGGCTTGGCGGGCGCTGCAGTGCCCAACCCCCAGAGGGCACCGGGTGGGCGAAGTCTGCTCTAAGCTCCAGCCGTTCTGGGGCTCCCTATGCCACCCCTGTCCTTACTCCCCGCTGCTCTTTCGCAGGACTCAAAGGCTCTTTGCAGCGGCTTCAGCTGGAGTACGTCGACATTGTCTTTGCTAACCGGATGGACGCCAACAGCCCCATGGAAGGTGAGTGGCCCAACCTGCTTCAGAAGGGTCAGGATGAGGCACGGCTGCCTCCCCAGACACCTCCCTTTAGAAGATCCAGGGGAGGCCAACCCTCTCTCCTAGGCTTCTCAGCAGCTATCCCTTTACCTGCGACTGCCTGCCTTGCTTGACAGATACCCAGCAACGCCGCTGCAATAGCCGAGGGACTCCCCCTCCTTGTCTTCTCTTGCTATCACCATCCCGTTATTCGCAGTTAGCTCCCACAGGCATGATAACCTTTTGAGGAAGGTCGTTATTAAGCCCATTCTTCACGCAGTGGGGGGGGGGCTGAGGCCAAGAGTAGGCGGCTTGCCCAAGGGCAGGCAAAGAGCCCACAGCAGATGCCCCCCCCCAAATCCTGACCCTCTTGCTGCCAGGCACACACACACACACACACACACACACACACACACTGTGCCCAATTCCAGCGGCATCTCATTGGTTCTCTCCTTCCCCCCCTGCAGAATGCGACCCGAACTTCCGATTGCTCTTGCTGGAAGGTACTGCAGACTGCCCTGATCTCCCACCTCACCCCACCCAAAAAAATCCACCCCAATTTGCTGCCCCGTCCACCCCAGATCCTGTGAGCCCCATACCTCTCTCAAGCGAGGAACAGGATGAAGGGTTATTCTAGCTTCGAAAAGTCGTTCTGGCTAAAGGAAGCTGTTTTGTGAAAAGGCGTCGCGTTCCCCTTGGAACAGGGAACGCTGAGGGCCACGATCCCGCCTGGACTGTGATCTGAGGGCCACGTGGGAGGGGGACAGATTCAAAAGTGGGTGGAGCGTTGGATGGAAAGGTCAGCTTGGCACCGTAGGGTCTGTCCGCTATCAAGACAGACAAGAGTTAAACTCTGAGTTAAACACCCCAGGCAAGCAAAAACATCCAAGGAGGGTGATATGAAGAAGGATCAGTGAGGGGCGTAGTCTGGGAAGGCTCCCGGGGGCCACAGAGAGCCCTGCGAGGCTGCATTTGGTCTTCAGATCTGAATGTTCCCCACCCCAGGTTTAGAAGAACTTGAAGCTCGTATGCGTCAAAGAGTCTTTGCTCCGTGCGAGGCTTTAGGAAGGAGATTTTCCCAGCATGAAAGAGCTTTTTCTGCAGGATTTTCACCTGCTGTTACAGGCTCAGGGTTCAACGAGAGGGAGGAAGCTTGCAGTCTCATTCTTCAGCTCAAGCACACTGAGCAATCCTAGGCTAAGGTAGACTTAATACCTGATGTAAGAGAGGAGGAACTTATGTTCCTCACCTCATGGAGGAGGCTGTGTGCAGAACACGTTGAGGTCTGTTTCGGAGATACTGTGAGACTTTAGCTTGGGGGCTGCCACCAGAAATCTCAGAGATAGTGAAAATCAGAGCCTTGCACAAGACCTAATGGATACTGGGCAGGATTGAGCTATTGAGTCTCATCAGTGGAAACGCATGCAAGGACTTCTGCTTGTGAAATGGGGTTTGCCCCTCTCCCCTCGTGTGCCCCCCACAATTGGCTCAAGGGGCGCAATCAGGTGCACCCCCAGAACAGGGTGCAGGAGGAAGAGAGGAGATTGGTCCACCCAGCCAGCTGAAATGCTTGCAGACATTGCATATGTATTTCATTGTATAGTGATTTATTTCCAAGCCAGGCTCTTGAGAGGTATGGCCAGCCCCTGCCTCCTTCCTGAAGCCCAATACTCCTCTTTGCACCCCATAATGCCCTCCCCACTGCAATGGCCCTGTGCCCCAGATCCTTGTAAATCCTTACCCATATGCCTACCCAGAAGTAAGTCCCGCTGAGATCATTGGGGCTTGCTTTCAGGTATGGGGGCATAAGATTGCACCCTTTTGTTCCTGGGGTTAGAGGGGGAAACCTTCCATGAATATCCCAGTCTCCATTCTGTAGAGACCTCACCGACTGTAGACCCAAGGATGGGGGTGCTGCCCTGAAAGTAGATGTGTGTCTTGTGTGCTCGCATGCTTTTGTGTTCTGCTGTAGAAAAATTCTGTGTGTGTCGCATTGCCAACTGATCAGAACAAAGCAACCTGCCTGTTCTTATGCCTTTAACAGCTACTTGATAGCTGCAAAAATCAGTAAGCGGAGCTTTTCTGAATGGGGAGATGAATAGTTTGCCTGCTTAATACCTGCAAATCAAGCAACAATTAAAGGCGATTAAAGTTGACAATCCTGTTTTGTGTCCGTGTGTATATGTATGTATGTGTGTGTGTGTTTACTATAAATGCAGGAACTCAAGATGCCTTTGTGCTTCCTAATATCACATGAACCCACAATTGAACAAGCTTTACAATATCGGAGAGGAGAGGGAAGGCAAAATTATTCTCACTATAGCATTTTGGGAACTTACTTTGGAAAGAATTTTTTTTTAAGTACTTTACTGGTAGATCAAACCAATTTGTTTCTGTGCTTTTAATGAAGTAGAGATGAATAACACAAGTATCTTTTCCCCCTAGAAAAGGATTCTAGCCAGCTTGTAATTCACTGATTTCATTGTGAAAATGTGATTAACAGGGGGAGCGCAAGATTGAGCGATCTTACGGGTGTGGAGCAGCTTTTTGGAGCAGTTACTGCTCAAATCCAGCTCCCCACCTTTCTCTCTCCCTCCCGGTTGGGATTCAGTTCCTGCTGGAGGCGGAAAGAGGAACTGACCTGGTTACACTGGGCTCACCTTCCAAAGGTGACAGGCAAAAGGTCTGGGGGGGCAATTTCTTCTCTCACGTCTCCTCTCTCACCCTCAGAAATTGTTCGTGCCATGACTTACGTGATCAACCAGGGGATGGCCATGTACTGGGGCACCTCTCGCTGGAGTGCAATGGAAATCATGGTAAATTCTGGCGTGGCGGAGAGGCGGGTGCAAACCGAACTGATGCATGTTTTCTCAGAAGCAGTGGCGTTGTGGTCCAGGGTTGTGAGGGGTTTGGGAGACCCGTTCCTAGGTCGCCTGCCTCCAGCATCTGAGAGCCATCCAATCAGCATGAAAGGGGAGCTTTTTAGCCACAGGGAAGGAGCCTTCTCGCCCTTTGTGTTGATTGGAGCCAATCGGAGTGAAAGGAGGCGGGTCAGCCGCTGAGGACGGGCTCCCGGGGCCACTCTGGAGAAGCTGTACAAGAAGATCACTGAGGAGGAGTTGTTTTGTATGATCCAAAGCTAAGTTTTTAGAAATACACTGAAAATACAAGGTGCCTCCGTCCCAAGAGGAGTCTGTGCTACTTCCGTTACGTACAACGGGACTTCAAGACAGGCACAACTTAAGTTGCTCCAGCAGAAGATACTGGAGCGCTCGATACATTTGCCTGTGTACATGCACAGAAAACAGAAGATCTATGTGAAGATCTGCAATGATCTTTGCAATGCATCCCTAATTATCACTTACTGTATAAGGTGGTTGTATAATCGTGGGGACGGGACGCGGGTGGCGCTGTGGGTTAAACCACAGAGCCTAGGACTTGCCGATCAGAAGGTCGGCGGTTCGAATCCCCGCGACAGGGTGAGCTCCCGTTGCTCGGTCCCTGCTCCTGCCAACCTAGCAGTTCGAAAGCACATCAAAGTGCAAGTAGATAAATAGGTACCGCTCCGGCAGGAAGGTAAACGGCGTTTCTGTGCCCTGCTCTGGTTCGCCAGTAGCGGCTTAGTCATGCTGGCCACATGACCCGGAAGCTGAACGCCAGCTCCCTCGGCCAATAAAGCGAGATGAGCGCCGCAACCCCAGAGTCGGCCACGACTGGACCGAATGGTCAGGGATCCCTTTACCTTTACATAATCGGGGGGGGGGCTGGCTGTGACTCTCCCGACAGGGACCCTGCACTTCTCAATCTGCCACCAGAAGCAAGTCCGCCCTGCGAGACTGATTATTTTTGCCTCCCTCCCCTAAACCAGGAGGCGTATTCCGTGGCACGGCAGTTCAACCTCATCCCACCTGTGTGTGAACAGGCAGAGTACCACATGTTCCAGCGGGAAAAGGTGGAGACGCAGCTGCCAGAGCTCTACCACAAGATTGGTATGGAGGCAGGCGGGAGAGGGCTGGGCCGGGGAGCCCTTTTTAGCTCAGGGGCCACATTCCCTTCTGGGCAAGCTTCCGAGGGCCATGTGTCCCTGGCAGGGCCAGAGTCGAAAATGGAGCTGAGTGGCTAATATAAATTTTCCCTTTGTTTTGCTCCCTATCTTCCCCAATAAAATGACTTTGGGCACAAAACAGCACAGTTTGGGGGGCATTCTGAGGGCTAGGCAGAGAGGCCTTGAGGTCTGTGTACAGGAGAAGGGATTATAGGGACCAATGGAAGCAAATTGCTGGGAGAGGCTGGGGTGACCAGGAACCAGAAGATACAGAGGGATCTGCAGACTGGATATGGAATCTGAGGAATGTGTTTCTGGAGGAGCAGCAGGTAGAAGCAAGATGATCCCTTGGGAGTATAAGCCCAGATTCAGGGTACAATTCTGCGTGAGGCATATTGGAAGTTTACGGAGGGTGACCTTTGGAGCAGATAAGATTAATATGTGCACTTCTCTGCTGACTTTTCTCAGCATGGGGTGGCGTTAAAAGACATTTGCAATGAAAAGTAAACCAGGAAGTGCTGTGATTTAGGATGGCCTGTGGCTATTATTTCAGTGAATCTGTGTACAGTGGTAGGAAGAGGTGGGGGATGTTATTTGTTTCCCCCTTCTCTTTACCTGACCTGACTGGTTTTCTTGCTAGGAGTGGGAGCCATCACCTGGTCCCCGCTGTCTTGCGGACTTATCACAGGGAAATATGAGGAGCGGGTGCCTGAAAACTGCCGTGCCGCCATGAAGGTACCGTCTCCTTTGCTTTTGCTGAGGCCTTCCGCCTCCCAACTTCAGCTGAACCTCGCACTGTCGACATCACACACAGCCCTTAAATCAGGGGAGACAGGCCTGCGGAGACCTCCAGATGCTGCTGGACTACAACTCCCATCATCCCTGACTGCTGACCATTCTGCCGGTTCTGATGGGAGTTGTAGTCCAACAACGTATGGAGGACATCAGGTTAATGACAACCAGTTCGGAACTCACAGCTCACAAGCCTTGATCCTGACTGCCCTACAACTGTAGTTGTTTACTGGACCCACAAGACCTGCTTGGTCCTCCCTGTTCACTGTTATTTTCAAACACTGGGTATACAGAAGTCCTGGGGCTCAGATTACGCACACTGGCAATGCTCCAAGAAACCAAACACTTCCCTTCTTCATCCCAAACATAAATCAATTTGTTGCTGATGTCTCAGAGATACTTGAAACTATCCTCACCAAAACACCAGGGCCTCCTCCAGACATTCTCCTTATTGTGCATTCATGATTGTTTGTGTTCATGATGCTATCAGGGGGGTTACACAAACTCCTGTTTCCAAGACTGTTCATGCCTACAAAGGTTTCATAGCAGGCATACTACTCATGTCCTGCTGAGATCCTGTAGCTTCTTATACCACAAATGTTTCAGGGCGGGGGGTAGGGGGTGTTGTCCCACTTTTTTTGGCATCATAGCACAACATTGGGAAAACATTGCAGGACAACTAATAAAGTGCAATGATGCTTCAATGATCCATTATGAACCCACCCCTAAGGCACTATTCTTGTGTCAGTGACACCTGCTGCAAAATTATCTGCCCCCCCCAAAAAAAATCAATCTGGAGGGGTCCTAAATCCTTTGCTGGCTGCTCAGCACATCCCTAAGGGCTGCTTTGCAAGTTCACAACCTCCATCCTTGCCTGCCAGTGGCTCACCGCCATGCTGTGCGTTAGCTATGATTCCTGCATTGCTGGGGGTTGGACTGGATGACCCTTTAGGTCCCTCCCGAGACGACAGTTCTGTGATTCTGTGGCTCTGCGCCTGTTTCCTTTGCTCCTCGCACCCTCCAGGGGTACCACTGGCTGAAGGAGAAATTGCAGAGTGAAGATGGGAAGAAGCAGCAGGCGAAAGTGAAGGAACTCCACCCGATCGCAGAGCGCCTGGGATGCACAGTGGCACAGCTGGCCATTGGTGAGGGAGGAGCGGAGCGTCTGTGTTGGTCAGGGCAGGCCTCAGAAACAGCTGCACATCTGGGGCAGGTTGCATTCCAGATCCTGCCTCAGAGGTGGGAAAGTTACGTAGCTCTGGGGTGGGAGAGATTCCCTTTCCTGAAACCTTGGAGAGCCACCGACTGTCGTTGTAGACAACCCTCCCCCAACCTGAGGCCTTCCAGATGTTTTGTACTACAGTCTGGGGGCTGTCGTCTGAAACATCTGGAAAGCCCCAGGTTGCAGGAAGTTGGTGTGGACAACACCAAGCTAGGTGGACCCCTGTGGCATATCTCAGCATAAGGCAGCTACCTTTGTTAGCCATAGAGCTAAAAGAAGATGTGCTATTTAGGCCAAAGGTGGCAATGTGAGCTCCTCAGATTCAGCAGCTACCAGCAGCTAAGAGAAGTAGGTTAGAAATCAGGAGGCGGTTTCCAGCTGCAAGAGGCGTGTGACATCCTGGAATAACCTCTCTTGAAACATTACCGGAGAAAAGAAGATGCCTTTGCCCAAGACCGATGTAGAGCCCCGCTGCACAATTGGCTTCCTGGTGCTTCAGCTGTGGCCCACGGGAGTAGAGAAGGTCGCCCTCGTATTTTGTCTGTTCCCCAAGTTAGAGGACTAGAATGTGGAGCATCAGCAATGCAGCAGCTGAGACTGGGAGCTTATCCAGGCGCTGGAGACGCCCTTCTTCCCTAGGTTTCAGCCAGGCCCTGATCCAGGGTGGTGCTGCCCCCAACTCTCAAGTGGCCACACATGCAGTTAGTCAGGCACTTTGGCAGTGGCCCTGAATCTCATATCTAGTTTGCCACCTCTTCTACTCCTGTGGTCCTGAGGGAGATTAGGGTGGTCCAAGAGCCAGCCAGGCAGCTGGTGAGGAGACCTCCAGTCCTGGGGCAGAGATGGCTGGACCCTACAGCTCTTCAGGGTCTTGCTGTCCTTCCGAGGTTGGTTCCAGGGCTGGGCAGAGCTGAGCCCTGACGCTCAGCAACCCCAGGAGGTTCTCTCTTAGCCAGGGCCAGTGTGCATGAAGATGGGCCTAATTCAAGTTTACCCCGGGGAGGTTTTAGCAGCCAGGATGGTGCCTTAACTCCACCCAGATTCCTCTGGAGTTAAGTTGTTGGGTGGGCAAGCAGCTCTTTGCTCCCTGCCCGCCTCTTCCCCGGCCCTTTTGTTTTCTTCCAGGGTGGCAAGTTTTTAGACGGCTCTCCTTATTTGATTTCTCTTGTCTCCTCTTAACCTCAGCCTGGTGCCTCCGCTCTGAAGGCGTCAGCTCTGTCCTTCTCGGGGTCTCCAGCACCGAACAGCTCATTGAGAACTTGGGGTCCATCCAGGTAAGGAGAAGGAACAAGGGTGCTAAGTCTGGCATAAAGGATGCAAAACCTTCCCCCGTCTGTGCGCATTTATATCTTGTCCTGTCCTGAAGCTTCATGAGAGCATGAACAAATATTCATCCAGGCCAGGAAGGGGGAACCTTTTTCAGCACAAGGGCCACATTGCCTTCTGGGCAAGCTTCCGGGGGCCACCTGTCCCTGTGGTGGGCAGGGCCAGGAGCAAAAGGCAGAGGGTAGAGCAATGGGTGCAGATTTCACCTCTGTACACTCGCCTTCATTATACACCTTTAGGCGCCAGATGAAAACATTCCTCTACCACCAGGCCTTTGGCTGATGGACTTCCAGTGCCCTTTTAAATGAGTTGTGGAAGGGTGGGGATTATTGGTTTCTTGTTTTTCTTATGCATCTTACATTTTTTATATTGTGTTTTTATGTTGCAGAACACCCTGAGATCTATGGATGCAGGGTGGTATACAAATAATAATAATAATAATAATAATAATAATAGTTTTTGCATACACTCACACACCCGTCTCTGTCCTATATCTAGGGAAGCATGAGGCAGGCACTATCAAGAATTCAAGGACACACCAAAAAAAAAAGAAAGAGCGAGTGCAGAGCAGATCTGGTAGAGGTGTGGCTGGGGAGAATCTGGGGGGCCAGATAGAGAAGTCTGGAGGGCCACATCTCTCCCTCTCACACACCCCACCAAGACCTGAGGTTCTTCAGCCCTGATCTGGTTGCATTTTAAATCATTGTGACCTGCTCTGGGATCTTAGGGTGAAGGGAAGGTAATAAAATAAAACCTCATCCTGGGGTTTTGGAGGCGTTCCATAGAGCCATCCTGCCTAATAACCATTGATAGACCTCTTCTCCTTCATGAATTCCTCTCGTCTCCTCTTAAAAACAATCTAAGCACAGTGGTTATACGATGTCCGCTATTCATTGAGCAATTGCCGTCCCACACACTTCCCAGCGTATTTTCTTGCCAGTTTCCTTACCGCAAAAAGCCTGTGGTTTCTTGTTTGGGTGAGTTTAATGGTGCGTTTTTAACTGCACAACCCAAATTTGCGGGTTTATGATCGAATCCCACCCACAAAGTCGCCATGGTCTGGAAGTGGCATTGAAAGAGGAAGAAAAGAATTACTTCTAGATTTTCTCCAAATCATGCATACCAGCTTGGTGGCTTTACAATTTCCATTTCAAATTTTAAAAAAGAAACGTGGCAAAAAGGTAGGTGGGGAGCAGGAACAACTATATATAATGGAGAAAAGTGATCGTGAAGGGAAATGGACATTTATTTACTTTTTTTAAGACCCTCAAAGAAAAAAGTGGTGGTTAAAAAGGGGGTGGAAAGAAAAGCCAGGGCACTAGAGAGGGTTGCACAGAGATGAAAACTGGGAAACCCTGCAGCTCTTTTTAAAATCCTAGTTTCCCCTGGCTTTTGTGTTGGGTTTGACAGACATATGAGCCAGCTTCTCAAATTGCTGGCCCACTCTATTTCCCTATTTATTTTGAAAGCTTACATCCCTCCTCATTTTCAAAAGAACTTCAGCTAGCAGAATAAAATCACAGTGATAATTTTAAACAACCTAGAATGGGACTCGGCTACGTTGGCAAAGAAAAAACGCTTCATATGCCTTGTCTATGCATTCTAACGCTCTGACACCAGATGGCGCTGTGGAGTTTCGTTTTTGCTAACCCGATTTCTCATACAAAGTTTGCAACGTATTTTAACTGCCACTATGGCGGAAGCCTTTCCTCCTCAGTCATGCAGCCCCTCTCTTTCTCTCTCCACAGGTTCTGACTCAGCTGACGCCCCAGGTCGTCCAGGAAATTGATGCGCTCCTGGGCAACAAGCCCAATGCAAAAAAAGAGTCCCGGGCGTAGGGACACGTTGGCGCCCGGGACGTTGCACGCTGTTGTCCCAAAGGACTGCATCGCCTCCTGCTCCTCCTCTGGGGGGTCCTGGCCCCACCTACCTACCCCCCCTGCCCCACATGCTCTCCCACCAGCTGCCGCCTCTCAACCTGGCGGGGGTGGGCAAGGAGGAGCCGCTTTGCGCATGAGAACCAAATAACCTTATACTTCCACGGCGGGCGAAGTGGGAGGGCGCCGGCGGGTTAGCGCCTGCCCCCCGCAGCCGCCTGCTTAGATTACAGTACAAATAATAAGGCATGAGCAACCCAGCTATGGGATCGGCGGGTAAGAGGCACCGCCTCCCGCTAGCGCCGGAACTGCCGGCCGCTTTGCCTCTCTCTTTCCCATATCAATGCGCCTGGTTTTTAAACACGGGGCGGGCACAGCGCAACGAGGCAAAATGGGGGGAGTGGGGAAAACAAGCACACAGCTGGTGTATGATAACAATTGAGCTTCCTTACTGCATATTTAGCCCCCGCCGACCAAAGTCCCGTGTAGTGTTATGAATCACTCCATTTACTTTACTTTTCTTTTCTCCTCAGCATCTTGTGCTTTTGTTGGGGGAGACCCCACCAGCTTCATTTGCGGGTTTTATGATGTTTTGAGGGACCGCAGAGGAGCCATCTTGGGCACGACCCAGTGGGAAGTCCTCTCGGCTAAATGAATGGGAGCTGCGCATGAGTGGGAGGGGCGCCATTTTGGATTTCCTGCCTCAGGCACCAAGATGTCTTAGGCCGGCCTTGTGTCCCAGTGAGGACGTAGCTGAGATAGCCCCTGTCTCTGGTGGGGATATTGTGAAGGGACAGTCCCCTTCACCCCAATTCTTCAAATTTAACCTTTCTAGAGTCCTTTTTCGGATACAAATATCAACTTTCTTCCCCTACCCATCTTTTATTTCCACTCACTCTACCCCCTCAAAACCCCCCACATAAATTATTGCCTTGCCTCTCCAACACAACCTCCTCCCTTCACCGGCTTTCCATTCCTAAACATTTAAGGTTTATCCCCCAGGGGAAATAAAACAAATCCCACATTTTGAGGACAGTGGGGCTAGGACTTTTTGAAAGACAAATTTGTCAGTTCATGTGCTTAACATGGCCTAGTCATGGATTATTTTTTAAAAGGGAATAAGGTTTCTGCAGTGCAAAATCGTTGCCAGAACCTGTTTCCCCTTCCCCACCGAGTGGAGACTGGTGAGCATTCATCTCCATGGCAGGATTACGTTCCTCCATTTTGGGGGGCTAAGAAAGCCCAAAATTCATGGTTGTCAGGCGGATCAGCCCTTTGGGCAAGCAAAAGCCATTTTGCCCACAAGCTCCACTCAGCTTCTCCGAACAATGTTCCTCGGATGTATCTCCCCCCACCCCCTGCCCCAAAGCGTAATTCATAATGTCTTTATTTGGTTTCGCCTAATCCTTTATCTAATTTGCAGCTATTCTCCTCACTGAATGCCATTACAAATTCCCCCCTGTTACTTTTGGCAGGAAAGCAAAATTGGCTCCCTTCCTGCTCCTCAGGAGCAGCAGAAGCAGATGGCTGAGAAGAGAGAGAGAGAAAAAAAGACATTTCTCTCTCCTTCCCCCTCAGTTTCCCTCTGTGGTTTTTCATTTTGCCGTGAATTTCCTCCCCAGAGGCCGACACCACCGAACCTTCCCGTTTTGTTGCGGAGGTGGAGGCTGCCTTATCACTTTGGTTCTGACTTAATCTCTCTTTCTCTCTCTCTCTCTTTCTTTTTTTGCATTTCATTTTTTAAAACAGAATTCCATATTCACCCTCCTCTAGGGAAAGAGCCATCTCTTCTTAAAGCAATAATATATTGGAAAAAAGCGTCCTCAGGGTCAAAGGGTCACCTTGGGGCAGTGGGGAGAGAGGAAGGCTAGCAACCGAGTCCCCCCCGAACCCCCTTGCTCCCGGGGAGCCCTGTGGCACCCTATTTTTTGCACAACTCATTGCTTTGAATCTGCTGCGCTTCCAGGGCAGGGCCACTGGCACCTGCCCCCCTCGCACTGGCTGCAAAATTATACGATGCTGTGTATATATATATACATATATTTTCTCTGTCGAGAATGAGTCTGCTTCGAGTTTTACTCTAGAGTAGCACTTCTGTCGCTTCCAGGAGTCTCTGCAGGGGGTTGGGGTTGGGTCTGCAGGTCAGAACTGAGGCTGCTTGGGATTTCTAAGATGGCACCCACGCACACCCCTCTCGGTTCCCCAGATCATTATTTATTGCATTGTTTCCACGAGGGATAGCTCAGTCAGTAGAGCGCAAGACTCTTAATCTCAGGGTCCCGGGTTCGGGTCCCACATTGGGCGAAAGATTCCTGCATCGCATGGGGTTAGACTAGATGACCCTCGTGCTCCCAACTCTCCAATTCTATTATTTACGTCACACCTGTTTTTCTCCAGGGAGCTCAAGGTGGTTTATGTGGGTCTCCTCCCCTTCCTCGTTTAATCCCCACAGCAATGGAGGTTAGGCTGAGAAAAGGCAGCCCAAAGATCAACACCCTATAATCTTCATGACCGACTGGGAATTTGAAACCTGGTCTCCCAGGTCCAAGTCTTTAACCACTATGTCACACTACAATCTTTAGAGGTTTTGAACATATATTGTTATATATTTATTTATTTATACCCTGCCTTTTACTCCAACAGGGACTCAAGGCAGCTTACAGATAAAATAAGAACAGCTAAAAACATTGGGGGGGTGTTAAATTAAAAACATTAATAGGAAACATTAATATAATTAAATATATGTATAATCTTTACATCGGTGGGCTCTCCTTCACTGGAGGTTTTTAAACAAGAGGCTGTGGTTCCTGCATTTCAGGGGCTCGGACTGGATGACCCTGGGGCATAGCTGTCAACTTACAGATTTGAAAATAAGGGACCAGCAGCCTCGAAAATAAGGGATCAGCAGCCAAAATAAGGGACCAACAATTACTTTGATAAAATACATATTTTGTTGCATGCAAATGGCTTTAGATACCTATTAGGTCCATAAATTACCATATAGCATATATTCAATACAAAAAAATAACAGCAACAATTTGTTGTTGACAAAGGACAGCCGGACATAGAAAGGGCCCCATTAACGTCAGTAGCTTATTTAAGGGACATCATCAATAAGGGACAGCAGCAGGACATGGCGCTGGGATAAGGGACTGTCCCGCCAAATAAGGGACGCTTGACACCTATGCCCTGGGATTCCCTTTCCAACCCTACAATTCTTAAGGTTTTTAAGATTCTATCTGTTTGTGGCCCAGATTTGTACCCCACAAAAGCTCAGGGCAAGGAATCTGTTTAGAAACTGCTTAGGAAATCTGAAGTGGGGCTGGCGGGGGTGGGAGACTGAATATATTCAATTTTTAGAAGAGATTTCCAAACCGACAGGCAGATATTTTTAAATGGCAAAACGGGGTTCAGGTCAGTTTTGCCTGGGAGCTGGACTCCTGGGCTCCTGCCCCCAGATATGACTAGGTTGTACAAGGTGTTTCTCTGTGCGTGAATCTAGTAATATTTAGCCGCCTTTTGATAATGTTCTTTTGGATCCGCAAAGGGAAGGAGGCTAGGCGAGAAAGCCCTGAAAGATTTCAAAGCGCAGAGCTCGTTCCAAGGGAGAGCAGCTCCCTCTGCAGCACAGCAGAGGCATTGCAGGCCTGTGCACAAATCGCCCCTTTCCCCCTAAAGGAGAGAGAAAAGAGCTATTTCTACTGAAAAGCAGTCCCCCTGCAGAGACCACCTTGCAGGGATTTTTAAAAAATGCTTGATATAAGTAGAATGGGCACGTGGCTTTCAAAGAGGTTTTTTTTTTGCCCCTTCTTTTTTGGGTGTGTGTGTGTGTGTGTTTGGGCAGTGGGGTGGGGGCAGGGAGAGATATTTGAAATATTGAAATACTGAAATAAAGAATACATGAAGCGACAGACCTGGTCTTGCTTGGTGTTTTGTGATGCTTGTTCTTGTGATCGATGAGATGCTTTGAGAAGAGGATTTGGAAGGGGAATGAGCCCCCACCGTTCAGCAATGTTCTGTCTTAAAATGCTCATATTGTCATGACAACAATCAGTCGCAGGCATCTGTACCTGGAAAACAGTGTGGGGGAGTGACAGAGATATCTCTGCCTGGTGTGATGAACCTTGAGTCCCTGGACTCCACTCCCCATCACTTATTTATTTAATGAGCTTCATGGCTGAATGGGGATTTGAACCCGGGCCCCTCCCGGCTCCAAGTCCAACACTCCAGCCACGCGCTACACTATGCTGGACCTCATCCCCTGACCACTGAGCATGAGACTCTTAACCTCAGGGTCACGGGTTCAAGCCCCACTTTGGGCCAACGTTTATTGCATTGCAGGGGGTATGGGATAGACGATCCTTGCGATCCCTTCCAACTCTACAATTCTGTGAGTCTACCACTGAGTTTGTGCGTCTGTGTTTGATAATGCATTGTTCTTAGGTCCACACTTTCTGACCTGGAAATGAAGCACAACAAACACTTGGCCAGACATTCGCCGTGTGGAGGGAGACGAGAGAATAGCGCTCACCCTCACTTGCATTGTTTTATTGTGTTTTTAATGTTTTGTTGGGAGCCGCCCAGAGTGGCTGGGACAACCCAGTCAGATGGGCAGCATATAAATATTATTATTATATCATCATCATCATCATCCTAGTCTCTGCTACAGTAAGCTTCGTTCCAAGGAAGCAGGACCCTGCTCAGAGATCAGGGTAGTAAAGGTAAAGGGACCCCTGACCATTAGGTCCAGTCGTGGCCGACTCTGGGGTTGCGGCGCTCATCTCACTTTATTGGCCAAGGGAGCCGGCATACAGCTTCCGTGTCATGTGGCCAGCAGGACTAAGCCGCTTCTGGCGAACCAGAGCAGCGCACAGAAACGCCGTTTACCTTCCCGCTGGAGTGGTACCTATTTATCTACTTGCACTTTGACATGCTTTTGAACTGCTAGGTTGGCAGGAGCAGGGACCGAGCAACGGGAGCTCACCCCATCGCGGGGATTCGAACCGCCGACCTTCCGATCGGCAAGCCCTAGGCTCTGGTTTAACCCACAGCGCCACCCGCATCCCAGAGATCAGGGTAGCATGCAACAAAATGTACATGTTTGAAACTCTTAATCATGGGTTAGAGCCCCACAATGGGCAAAATATTCCTGCATTGCAAGGGGTTGACCCTTGGTGACTCTTCCAACTCTACAGTCCTATGATTCCTATGAAACCTAATGTGTGAGGAAGCTGCCTTAACCATTGCTGGATCCATGCCTGTGCTGCCTGGTAGCTCCTTCACAAGGTTTCAAGCAGGCATGCTTCCCAATAATAGTTCTGCTCTGTTTTGCCTTGGCCAGACCCCACCTGGAGTTCTGTGTTCTGGGCACCCTAGTTTCAGAAGGATGTTGACAAGAAGGAAGGTGGGCAGAGGAGGGTGACCAGGATGTTGAAGGGTCTGGAAACCAAAGACTTATCAGGAACAGCCGAGGGATCTGGGTATGTTTAGCCTGGAAGAGAGGAGATACGATAGCTGCCTTCGCATCTCTAGTTGTTTTCTGCTGCTCCAGAGGGTAGGACCTGGACCGAAGAATTCATATGACATTCAAAGGAGATTACGCCACAGTGGCACAAACCTTAGTCACCTCCCATTTGGATTACTGTAGTGCGCTCTACATGGGGCTGCCTTTGAAACGTGCTCAGAAACTTCAGCTGGCTCAAAGGGCTGCAGCCTGATTGTTGACTGGGACTGGTTCTAGCGAGCAGGCCGTTCCCTTGCTAGAACATTTCCACTGGTGTTTCCGGGCACAATTCAAAGTGCAGGCTATGACCAATAAAGCGCTATATGGCTTAGGTCCCAACTACTGCATCTGAAAGTCCGTATTCCCTCATATGCACCTGCCCAGGCTCTGAGATCTTGTGTCAATGCTGCCACCTCCACAGGGATGCTTGGGGGGGGCACAGGAGAGGGTCTTCTCGGTGGTGGCTGCTCCCAGGCAACTTTGGAACTCCCTGCCTAGAGAGGCCAGACCGGCTCCCTCCTTGCTGTCCTTGAGCCAGCAGGAGAAGACTTTCCTGTTCCAGCAGGCTTTTAGGAACTGACTGCTTTTAATGAAAGGGCTGACGCTGTGCTGTGTTTATTGTAATTATTTGTTACAGTTTTAATAGATTTATATATATATATAGTTTTAGTGTTTGTTTATAATGATTGGGTTTTCCCCCTATGTTTGTAGCTGTTCTTATTTTTATCCATAAACCACCTTGAGTCCCTGTCGGGCAAAAAGGCGGGGTGCAATTAAATGATTAATAAGAAACATTAGGAAGAACTTTCTGATGATAAGAGCTATTCAGCAGTGGAATGGGTCCCCCGGAAGGTCATGGACTCCCCTTCCTTGGAGGTTTTTAAACAGAGACTTGGTGCCCCTCTCTCAGGAATTCTTGAATTGTGGTTCCTGATTTGCAGGGGGCTGGACTGATTTGCAGGGGGCTGGACTGGTACCTTCCAACTGCACAGTTCTATGATTCTACAGAGGTGCTGTTAGCTGCACTTGGGACCATTTGCTCACAAAGCAGTGAGCTACAGCTCTTTGTCCCTGGCTCTTGGAGGTGAAACTCTGCCTTGGGGAGCACAACCATGTTCATGCTGTGATAAGTCCTTCAAACATTTACCAAGTGGCGTTGTTCCATGTGCCGCGGTATCCTGGGGGAACCGGTGCTTCCTCTCGGCTGCAATTACATTATTCAAGAGGAAATAGCTTATCAGTTACCTTCTCTGTTATTAGCCGAGAGATTGGCGAGTCACAAACCCAAGCGCCTTCGGCACATGAGAAGTTTCACCGCTGCTGCCGGCACGAGGTGCAGGTTGAAACAGGAGCATCGCAGTCTGAGGAGGGGGAATCTTTGCATCATCTCTCATGAAAAACACACAGTAAAAGGTGCCCCTCTTTTTAGATCTATGGCCATTCTCAACACGGGGAGAGTTGAGCCCATCAAGCATATACATCGTGCTTCCTGTGTGGTTTCCTTTTCATCAGGGCAAGGCAAGCGATGGAAATTGCAACTTGAGTTGTCAAGCTGCTTGCATTGTTGGAAGGATTACAATTATCACACTTATGAGCATGAGCCAAGAAAGCAAGAGGCACACATTAGGCTACGCTCCTGTCATAGATTAAGCCGGTGTCGTTTATGGGACCCCTCCAGCAAGCAAGCTGATCGCAGTTACACAGTTTTCTTAATCTGATTTCTTCGCCTGAAGAATTCAGTATAGGGTTGTAACGTCTGATTGCTTCATCAGTTAGATTAAAAATGCTTTGGGTCAACTGAGGTGTCCTTTAATCAGGTGTGTGTGTGTGTGTGTGTGTGTGTGTGTGTGTGTGCACGCGCACGCGCGCATCACACATGGAGTGGGCCCTGCAACAAAGTGTTGCCGTATGAAGTGCTTCTGTTCAGGGTTCCAAGTACACCACCACTACCACCCCGACAGCAGTTTGTGCCCATTGAACATGCTTAGTCTTCATATCAATGGGCAACTCACTCTTCCATTCCCAGTACAGTGGTGCCTCGGGGTAAGTACTTAATTCGTTCCGGAGGTCCGTTCTTAACCTGAAACTGTTCTTAACCTGAAGCACCACTTTAGCTAATGGGGCCTCCAGCTGCCGCTGCGCCACCGGAGCATGATTTCTGTTCTCATCCTGAAGCAAAGTTCTTAACCTGAAGCACTATTTCTGGGTTAGCGGAGTCTGTAACCTGAAGCGTATGTAGCCCGAGGTACCACTGTAATGTCTAAAAATAGCTTTGCAGCGTGAACCAGGAAGTGACATAGCCACTCAACATGATTTCCATGGCCCAGCCATATCTGTATATATATGCTTTCACTCACATGCACGTTCATAGAATCATAAGAGTTGGAAGGGACTCGAGGGTCATCTAGTCCAACCCCCTGCAATACAGCAATCTCAACTAAAGAATCCATTACAAGTGGCCATCCAAACTCTCCTTAGGAGAGTCCACCGCCTTCCCAGGGAGTCTGTTCCACTGTCAAATGGCTCTTGCCATCAGAAATCTTAATACTGAAATAAAAAATTTAAGGTCTTATGTATATAATAAAAATTCATAAATGTTCCAAGCAAACACGTACATAAATATATAAACCACATGTCTGAAGCAGCACAGGAAAACAGCCCTGGAACCATTTTGACTCCCAAGGTGACCAAATGATTTTTCTGCAAAGTCAAATGGAAAAGCCTCCCCATTGTCTTTTCCTTCACAAATCCTGTCTTAAGGGTATGTCTGTGTATGAATAGGGTGAGCCTGTGATCTGGCTCAGGAACTAAGTATTTATCATTACAAAAAACTGGCCAGGCTCCCCAGGGTATCCAATCAAGTAAGCATTAACAGGTAACTTGCCAGACAGGAGGTAAACAACTCACTCAGATTTCTGCTGTAGACCACCCTTTCTGTGATGTAGGTATTATGTATCTGGGGTTAGTCTTGGACACCAAGGCGGGCAATTTAAAATGTCTATATAAGGGCGGGCACACCTGGGTTCTGGGTCCTCCTCCTGCGTGTGAAGGGGGCACCCTGTTGCAACAGTTCAATAAAGATCAGGCTTACTAGCTGCTTTGCTTCTCACTATTCTCTGGTTGGCCTCTGTTCTTTTCTCCAACCGATGGAGAACCTACAAATGATTCTATAATGGCTCTTGTGTCCCCCATAAGGGAATAAGGGCAGGTTTTCATTTATTACAATACTCTCCCAGCAGAGGTTCATGCCTTGCCTTGGGTAAATCTTCTGGGAAAGATAATCTCATTGTTGGGGTCTGGCCAGCGTGAACGCCACACTCTATAGTTCTCTTATCCTGCGAGGG